CTGTTGGATAGATCCTTTCAATATTATGTAGTGGCCTTCTTTGTCTCTATTTATGGCCTTCATTTTGAAGTCTATTTTTTCAGATATGAGTATTGCTACCCTGGCTTTTTTTTCCTTTCCGTTTGCTTGGAAGATTTTTTCCCATCCCTTCACTCTCAATCTATATGAGTCTTTTGTTGTGAGGTGGGTCTCTTGTAAACAACATATAGATGAGTCATGATGTTTTATCCAATCAGCTACTCTGTGGGAGCATTCAATCCATTTACATTTAAGGTGATTATTGATATGTACTTATTTATTGCCATTTTTGTTTAGTGTGGTTCTATTTTTCTTCCCATTTCTACTGCTAATTACAGCAGTCCTTTTAACATTTCTTGCAGTGCTGCTTTGGTGCTAAATGTATTCCCTCAGCCTTTTTTTTTGTCTGGGAAGGTCTTTATTTGACCTTCCATTTTGAATGATAGCCTTGCTGGGTAGAGTAGTCTTGGATTCAGATCCTTGTTTTTCATGACCTTGATTACCTCATGCCATTTCCTTCTGGCCTGTAGTGTTTCTTGTGAGAAGTCAGCTGAGAGCCTTATGGGGTTTCCTCTGTAGGTAACCTGTTGCTTATCTCTTGCTGCTTTTAGGATTCTCTCTTTGTCTTTAATTTTTGGCAGTTTGATTACTATGTGTCTTGGTATGGGCCTGTTTGGGTTCTTCTTACTTGGGGCTCTCTGTGCTTCTTGAACTTGAATGCCTTCTTCCTTCACCAAATTAGGAAAGTTTTCTGTCACTATTTCTTTGAATATATTCTCTAACCCTTGCTCATTTTCTTCTTTTTCGGGGACTCCTATGATGTGAATATTATTACGTTTCCAGTTGTCCCACAGTTCTTTTAAGCTCTTTTCCTGTTTTTTAATAGGTTTTTCCTTTTTGTTTTCTGATTGATTGATTTTTTTCTACCCTGTCTTCTAATTCACTGATCCAGTCCTCAGCTTCCTCTACTCTGCTTTTTAGACCTTCCAATGTGTTTTTCATTTCTGATATGTCGTTTTTAATTTCTAACTGGTTGATTTTCAACATTTCTATGTCTTTACTTATGGTGCTCATGTCCTTACACATGCTGTTGAGCTTCCTCAAGATCATGGGTCTGAATTCTAGTTCTGTTAACTTGCTTAACTGCCCCTCATTTATCTCATCTTCGGTAGAGGTCTCTTGTTCTTTCGTTTGGCTTTTGTTTCTGTTTTTCACCATTTTGGCTATCACAGTGGGCTTTGGAGTCTGCCAAATTTTCCCTGTGGGTGTTGGTGTTCTGCTGTTTGTGGCTCCCTCTCCTGGGTTTGGATGAGCCAGGGAGGACCCACTTTAACCACCACTGTCAAGTCTTAACTTTCCTCTAGCTTTTTTTGCCTGGAGGCTATTAGTATAGGTCACCTGAAGAACCTTGGTTTCTGAGTTGCCTGAAAAACTCCCTCAGGTGCTCAGTGTAAGAGGATTTTCTGAGGGTGGTGCAGATGCTGTTTGTTAATGGGCCTCAATTAGCATTTCAATGGTCACCAGGTGGGGTTGAATCTCCAAGGGAGGGGCCGCCGCCTCTCCCCAGGGCCATGGGAAGGAGTAAGATGACCACAGTCCTGCGTGGCTGCACTCAAGAAAAGCTCTGAGCACCTTCCATTCCCGAGTGTCCCCACACAGTTCCAGTCCAGTCTGCCCTCCCTCTGCCGGAGCCCAAGGTGAGTGGCTGCTGCCAATTTAGCCTCTGTCCAGACTCTGCATCATGGAGCCGCCTGGGACTTTTAAACTGAGGGCGCTGCTCCCAGCTAAGAGCAGCCGAGTCTGCGGCACCAGCCGAGGGCGTAGCCCTCAGCCGAGTTTGCAGGACTCAGCCAGGGTCGAGGACGCAGCCCAGGCAGCAGCAGCTTCCAGCCCAGTCCCCTGGTCCCAGCCGAGTTCGCTGGTCCCAGCCCAGGCCGCTGAGGATACACTAATTTAAACTTAGCAGTTTTGGCTAACTTGCCCTCCCAAGAAGATTTTTTTTTTAATCTTATGAAAATAATTTATTTAGTCAACAGAATTTTTTTATGTAGGTTTTAAGAGAAATAAACTTTGTAGTCTTTGCATGTTTTATTTATTTTTATTTTTTATATTTTTTAATTTATTTTTGTTACAGATGTTTCTCCTTTCCCCCACTGGTTCCCCCCTCCCCCCCTCCTCACCCCATCCCCAGCTTTGTTGTCCATGTCATTGTTCATGAATACATGTATATAAGTTCTGTGGTTTTTCTCTCCCCCACCACCCCCGCTTCTGGGGATTGTCAGTCTGTACCCCACTTCCACATCTCTGGGACTACCCCATTACTCAGACTATTATGTTCATTATATTCCACAAATAAGTGAGATCATATGATACTTGTCTTTCTCTGTTTTGCTTGTTTTGCTTAGGATAATACTTTCCAGTTCCCTCTATGTCATCTCAAAGGATAAGAGATCTTTCTTACAGCTGCATGGTACTCCATGGTATATGTACCATAGCTTTTTTATCCATTCATCTACTGATGGACATTTGGGCTGTTTCCAGATCTTAGCTATTGTATATAGTGCTGCTATGAACATGGGGGTATATATATTCTTTCTAATTGGTGTTTCAGGCTTCTTAGGGTATATTCCCAAGAAGTTTTAACAATTTGTATCTATCAGTACTGTATAGCCTTGCCTGTTTCTCCATTCTTTCCAACACAGTGTGTTATCAAGCTTTTTTATTTTTGCCAATTTGGAGAAAAATGGCACCTCATTATGGTAGTAATTTACATTTCTCTGAGTATGAATGCCACTGAGTATCTTTCCAGATATTTGAGCTATTTCTATATCCTTTTCTATGAGCTGTTCACATTCTTTGACCACATCTTATCGGATTTTTGTTCTGTTGATTTGTAGGTGCTCTTTAAAGAAAATTAGTTCTTTGTCACTTGTTTTACAAATAATAGTTTTCTTTCTTTTTCCTTTTTTTTGCCATACAGAAAATTTGAATTTAAGTAATTAATTAATTAATTTATTTATTTTATTTATTCTCACCTGAGGACATTTTTACATTCATCTTCAGATAGAGTGGGAGGGAGGGGGGGGGGGAGAGAGAGAGAAACATCAATGTAATAGAGACACATCGACTGGCTGCCACCCACACAACCCCAATTGGGGCCAGGACAAACTGCAACTGAGGTATGTGCCCTTAGTGGGAACCAAACCTAGGTCTCTCTGGACTGCAGGCTGATGCTCTAACCACTGAGCCAAACCGGCTAGGGCCACCTTTTGGTTATTTGAGGGAGAAGAGCTTTTGAAAAATCTTAGCAGAAAAGTCAGGCTTCTTTTAAGGCTTTATCTTTTAGAAGGGAATAAGGTTTTATGCAAAGAACTTCAATAAATATTTATTGTGTCCAGAGGTTATGCCAGGTTCTTGCTGGGCACTAGGGATGAAGTCATGAGAGGAAGAGATGAAGTCCTTACCCTCATGTAGCTCACAGTCTGGTGTCTTGCAACTCAAAACATGACCCACAGACCACCCGTAGCTACGTAACTTGAAAGCTTAGTAGAAGTGCATGATGTCAGGCTCCAACTCAGATACTCTGAATTGGAATCTGCAGTTTCACGAGATACCCAGGTGATTTGACTGCACATTAAAGTTTGAGAAGCACTAGTCAGGACTTGACTGAGTCAAGTTTTACCCTCAACATGTTGGAAAGTAGTCTGTTATAGCCATCTATCAGCATCTCTTCCCTGGAGGTAGCCACTGTAGTTCAGAGACCCCGCCCCTTCTGGTTGTAATTGACCTGGGAGCATCTGACACCAGCTAGACCTATCTGCATTCTTCCCCCAGGAATTTGAAAATGGTAAGGAAAGAACAATCCAGTCTTTCTGTTGGTTGGCTCACTTAATAAGTAAGCTCAAATAAGTGTTACAGTGGCCATAGTCTAGAAGCAAGAAAAACTGGAAGGCAACGAGAACAATGAAGCAGATGTATGGAGAAAAGCAGAAATGGAGAGAAAAATGCTTAAATTCCTGTTCCCCATCATTATCCACTTTATCTTTGTAATATACTCCCATATGCTTAAAGCTCATATGATTTAGTCGTTATTTTCTGGAACCAGAGTTGTACTTACTGTAGCAGAGAAGGGTGAATTCAGAAGGCTGAATGCAGAGGGTGTCTTGTTTTGTAAGCGTGTGTTGTTGGAAGTTGTCCAGGGATTTGAAGACCAGGAGCAGACGGTGGCCCACAGTATGACAGAGCTACTGGTGTGGATAGAGGACGGGGAGACCTCCCAGAGCTCACTGTCCACACCAGACACATGACAAGCAATTTTTGATCCCTCACACTGTCTCATGTGATCCCTGAAATAATTCAACAAAGGGGCTGGTGTAAGCCTCATTTACAGAGCAGGAAAGCAAACTTCAGGGAGCTTAAGTAACTTGTTCATGGCCACCAGGAAGCGCAAGGCCTTCATGGATCGGACCCAGCTGTGCTACTTAAGCACCCAACCTCTATCATAGGTGCTTAAGCCAGTTTTCATAGCTTGCTGGTGGAACTCTTGAAAAGTATTTGAAAAACACAAACCTCCTCCCCTCCCACAGATCCTGCGTGGGGCCCGTGAAGACTATTGCAAATCTCCACCCTTGATTCTGCTTTGCACCTGGAGCTAGGAACCTCTGCCTCATGCAGTCCTTATAGGTCAGAAAGACCCAAGTCTGTTGTGCAACAGAATCGCTGGGGTGCTGGTAATGATACAGATTTCGGGACCGCGACCCAGGTTTACAGAAGCGAGATGTTGGGACTGGGGCTTCGGATTCCGAGTGTCCACAGCTGCCCAGCCCTGCCCGGGACTGGGGACCCCACTCCTCGCGGGTCTCCTCGCCGGTCGGCCACTCGGGCGGTAATTCCGAAGCGCTCCGCCAGGGGGAGCCGGGGCGCCGCTAGCGGCTTCCGGGTGAGGTGAGGCGAGGGGGGCGGGGCTGGGGGATGACCCGGAAGCCGACGCGGGTCCCGCCCCTCGCACCGCGGGAGGCGGATAGGAACGGCCCACCGAGCTGCTACCACCCTTCGCTCCCAGCTCGCTGACATCATGCTCCAGTTCCTGGTGAGTGGAGCTGCCGAGGAGCGGGCCGGGGGCTTGGCTCGGCTCTCGGCCCTCGGGGTGCGGCCCCGCCGACCGGCCTGGCACCGAGGGTCGGCCGCGCCGCGGGATTTGCTCGCCTCTCCGGCCCGAGCCAGCTCTGCCCTGCGCCCTCCAGTCCCGAAGACGCGGCGGGGGGCACGCTCTTCGGGAGCCGCCTCCGGTGTCCCCATCGAGTTACCGCCTTTGGGGCCTGAGGCCTCGTGACCGCTCCCGGGGCTCCCCCGCCCCGACAGGGCCACACAGGGCCACACACCCCACCCCGACCCGGAGCCCGCTGGTCGGCGTTGGCGGGAGCTGGGGGCCAGGGGTACACGGGGGGAGGAAGCCCGCCGAGGTGCAGAAACACTGCAGGCGCCGGGACCGGAGGGTGGCGGCCGCTGGTCCTCGTGCCCACGTTAGGGGGACCCGAGTGTCACTTCTCAGGGCTCTTCATTTCGGTTAAAAGCCGGTTTTTCCGGCGAAGCCCGTGTGTTTCAGTCGCCTGGGGAGGTTCCCAGTGAGTCCGGCTCCCACACTTCTGTTGCCTCCAGGACTTGATGCTTTCAGCCCAGAGGCAGGTCTCGTGATGCAATCTGGGCGGCTAGTGGCCGTCTGACAAATTCTCCAACTAAGATAGGGCTGCTCCTCTGCCTGAAAGTTTCTCCAGTGTCCTCTCGGTACTAGTGTAGAAGGAACAGAAATAATGAAGACTCCAGCTGTAGCTCATTGATAAGGTGGGAGGCTATCGATTCAGTTATACTTAACTTTGTAAGTGCTCTTGCAGCGTGAGTTTATTTGGTTTTGGAATAAACTTTGGCCGTGTGTAAATACGGATGTGACTGAGTTGAGAATTCAGAGTTCTCAGCATTTAAGGAGAGATACCAGAGCTGTTCATTGAGTCCCCAGTCCAGAAGTAACTGGAACACAGACGTTCTGTTGCCCTGTCCTCTCACCTCTTCACTGCATCTGTTGAAAGAACTGGCTAGAATTACTTTCTTTTTTAAATTGATTTTTAGAGAGAGAGGAAAGGAGAGAGATAGAAACATCCATGAGAGAATATCGATTGGCTGCCTCCTGCATGCCCCCCACTGGGGATTGGGCCTCCAACCTGGGCATGTGCCCTGACCAGAATCAAACCGGTAACCTCTTGCTGCATGGGTCGACGCTCAACTACTAAGCCGCACCGGCTGGACTGGCATTACTTTTCACCTTGATTGTACCTCTGTCCAGTGATTCACTAAACCTGTGAACTTGTGCAAGTCTTTCTCGTTGCTTTTAGCCATTCCATTTACTTTTTTATTTTTTATCCTCACCCAAGGACATTTTTCCATTTTTTGTTCAGATAGAGTGGGAGGGAGAGAGAGGAAGAGAGAGAGAAACATCGACATGAAAGGGACACATCAAATGGTTGCCACCCACATGACCAACCAGGGCCGGGGACAAACTGCAACTAAGGCACATGCCCTTAGCAGGAACCGAACCCGGGTCTCTCTGGACCGCAGGCCGACGCTCTAACCACCGAGCCAAACCTGCCAGGGCAGCCATTTCATTTATAAAACAGTGGAGTTGAAGTAGAAAATATTTAAGATCTCTGCTAGGTTTTAAGCTGTGACCAGCCATCATGTCCTAGTTTGTGAGGTCAGACCCCTGTGTTTGAACCCTAGCTCCATCACTTTGAAGCTGTGGGAACTTGGACAGTTTGTTTCAATTGTCTATGCTTCAGTTTCCACATCTGAAAATGGAAACCTATCTCATGGTTTTGTTGTGAGGATCAAACATGAGTTAATGCATTAAAGTACTTAAAATAGTGACACTTAATAAGGACTCATATTCAGTTTCTCTTTGACAAGGTATCTAATTCTGATTTAGTTTCTTCTCAGAAATGGAATTAGCTTACCCTCAGTAGTGTAGGTGAAGGGAAGGTTTTGGCAGTGGTGGGACAGTCACAAGTTAAACATGGGCACTGCCATCACACGTTTTGTGGCCCTTCAAGATGTTTCTTGCAGTTGTCATTTTCTGGGACACTATTTGAAACGTGTCCCACGGGATTGTGTTGCTTTGTCAATTGTTCATTCCTCCGCGGATGAAAATACTTGCGCGTCATCCCAGTCTGGAGAGCTTATTGCTGTGGTCCTGCTGCTGTCCTCCGCCCTGCTACTGCAGCAGTGTCCTTGATTGCAGTATAATTTAGCTACAGTTGTTGTGAGGAAACTCTTGAAGCTTTTGAAGAGGCCTGATACGATGGACACTGCTGGGGGCTTTGAGTACACTGCCTGTTGTGCTGTTGCTGGGTCATGCGTTGCTTTTCTTACCTCTCAAAGCGGTAGCACTTGGTACTCTTAAATACCTCCTCCTTAATCCCTTCTTCTTTGCCCACTGGATGCTGCATCTCAGTACTTTCCAACGTTCTTTCACATCATAACACACATGGACTTATTTGTTTTATTTTTTATTTTATTTTTTTTAAATCTTTATTGTTGGATGTAAAATGTATTACAGATGTTCCACATTTTTCCCCCATTGACCCCCTCCTCCTCACTCCCGCCCCCCTCCCGCCTTTTCCCACACTATTGTCTGTATCCATTGGTTATGCATATAAGTTCTTTGGTTTATTCCCCCCCCCCCCAACCCCTTTCCCTTTGAGGTTTGTCAGTCTAGCAATGAATTTGTACTTCTTAATCCTTTCACCTTTTTCACCCATTCCCCCAACCCCCCCCCTCCCAACTGGCAACCAACAAAATGTTCTCTGTATCTATGAGAATGTTTCTGTTCTACCTGTTCATTTTGTTTGTAGATTCCATTGTTGATAGATATGTATTCATTGCCATTTTGTTTGTTCATATATTTTACCTTTTTCTTCAAAAAGACCCTTCATCATTTCATAATAACGGTTTGGTGGTGATGAACTCCTTTAACTTTTTCTTGTCTGGGAAAGTCTTTATATGGCCATCAATTCTAAATGACAGCTTTGCAGGATAGAGTCATCTTGGTTGTAGGTTCTTGCTTTTCATCACTCTGAATATTTCTTGCCACTCCCTTCTGGCCTGCAAAGTTTCTTTTGAGAAATCAGCTGACAGCCTAATGGGAACTCCCTTGTAGGTAAGTAGCTGCCTTTCTCTTGCTGCTTTTAAGATTCTCTCTTTGTTTTGAGCCTTTTGCATTTTGATGATGATGTGTCTTGGTGTGGGCCTCTTGGGGTTCATCTTGTTTGGGACTCTCTGTGCTTCCTGGACTTGTATGTCTGTTTCCATCACCAAGTTAGGAAAGTTTTCTGCCATTATTGTTTCAAACAGGTTTTCGATTTCTTGTTCTCTCTCTTCTCCTTCTGGCACCCCCAAGATGCGAATGTTGGCACGCTTGAAGTTGTCCCAGAGGCTCCTTACACTATCCTCATTTTTTTGGATTCTTTTTTCTTTTTGCTGTTCTGATTGGGCATTTTTTGCTTCCTTATATTCCAAATCGATGGTTTGCTCCTTGGATTTACGTACTCTATTATTTAAGCTGTGTAAATTATTCTTTATTTCAGTTAATGACTCCTTCAATTCTAACTGTGTATCCATGATTTCTGACTGGTCCTTTTTTATGCTCTTGAGGCCCTCCCTAAGTTCACTGAGGTTCTCACTAAGTTCATTGAGCATCCTTATAAACAGTATTTTGAACTCAGTATCTGTTAGGTTGTTTATCTCCATTTCGCTTAGTTCTTTTCTTGGGGTTTTGTTCTGTTCTTTCATTTGGGACCTGTTTCTTTGTCTCCTCATTTTGGCTGCCTCCCTATGTTTGTTTCAGTGTATTACTTAATGAGAGGTATGAGGCTCGCTGAGACCAGATGCTGCTCGTTTGAAAGAATTTAGGAAAACCTGAAGCAGGATCCAAGGCAGGCCAATCCTATGGTTATGCAAGTGGCAACAGCTTGGGTGGGCTTGAAAGTTGGGTGGGGCGGGGCAAGGCCTCAGGGAGTCAGCAGGGCGGGGCTACCAGTGTGAGCCAGGTTGCTGGAGGCCCAGATATGGCGGCTGTCTGCTGCCCCAGGGAAGGGCTCACCAAAGGAACAAAGGCCTCTGACAGCACCTCTGTCCCAGAGAAAGCCCCCTCTCCAGCCCTCGCTCCAGTGCCAAACAGCTCAGTTCTTCCCTGTATGTCTCTGGCGCCCCTCGAGCTGCCTCCCCTACAAGCTTAGAGGGAGAGAGTCCGATAAGTCCGTGCGGGGGCCGTTTAAGGAGCTGCCTGGAGCTCCAGCCAGGTCAGCCTCCCTGAGCCTCAGTTCCCGCTGGTTTTTCCAGCCAGAAGTGATGGGGATTCTCTTCCTGGCACCAGAACCCTGAGCAGGGCACCTGGTGTGGGACGGGGACCCCTCAGTCCTCAGGAAGGACCTTCCCAGCCGAGGTGTCCTACACATGGACTTATTTGTATGATTCTGCACAGAGTGAAGGTGTCTGGCTGTGGTGCTGGCCCCTCCCGGGGCTGAGGGGATCAGTATCTTAGTACCAGCTGGCAGAAGGCCCTAATTGTCTGCTTGTACTGACTGCTCTTCCCTTCTGGTTGCTGGCTGTTTCTAAAGGCTTAGTCCCTGACTCTGTGTGCTCTTCTCTCAAACCCACCTTAGGGGTGTGTCCCTTGTCACCTTCACCTCTTTGCTGACAGCTTCCAAAATGACTGAGTCCTTTTCTCTGAGTTCCAGTTCCCTGTCAACTGCCTACTGAGTGTCTCTTGTCCTGTTCTTCATCTCAGACTCAACGCGTCAGGACTCATTACCTCTTCCCCACCCTGCAAACCACACCCAACTTCCTTCTTTGCTTCCTGGTCCTGGCTTGTTAAAATTTGAAATAGTGACATGATCTTTTACTTATTTCCCTGCTTCATTCTTCGTATCATCTAGCTGCTATGCCTGGCACATTACCTGCCATGTAATCTTGGGCAAGTTACTTAACCGATCCCTGCCTCAGTTTCTCCAACATAAACTAGGCAATAATTGTACCTGCTTTGTATGGTTGTGGAGAGCATGTGTTAAAAAAGAGTTAGAATGCTACCTTGCACATAGTAAGCACTCAGTAAATGTAGCTATTGTTCTAAGCCATCAAGTCTACATTATTCACCTTATGAAAAATTGTCTTCACTTTCCCACTGCCAAGTTTGTAGAGCAGGTCTTTTTACAACACCTTTGCACTAGCTGTAGTAGCCTAGCTGGAGAAGGAATGTAGATTTTGAGTTGCGAGAGTTACTTTAGGCTCTCCAGCCCAGCTCACCTGCTGATGCTTCCGTCTCCACTACCAAGAGGGCATCCAGTTTACGGTTGGTCACCTCCAGTTGCAACAGGTCCACTACTTCCACAGGTAATCGCTTTCAGTTTTGGTCAGCGTCTCCTTACTTAGTTCTACTCCTTGATGTTAAAGAGCAAATTCAAATCTACAAGACAGCCCCGCACATATTTGAAGAGCATTATGTTGGTGCTTCTCACTCTCCCTCCCCCACCCCATCAGTCTTTTCTTTAGTCTAAACGCCTCTGTTTATTTCAACCATTCTTTACGATTTCAGGTACATGCTGGTTACCCTTCTGTGAATATTCTAGTTTTGAATTCTTTTTAAAACATGCCACTCCTGCCCTGGCCGGTTTGGCTCAGCGGTTAGAGCGTCGGCCTGCGGTCCGGAGAGACCCGGGTTCGGTTCCCGCTAAGGGCACGTACTTCGGTTGCAGTTTGTCCCCGGCCCTGGTTGGTCGTGTGGGTGGCAGCCAGCCACTGGATGTGTCCCTTCACGTCGATGTTTCTCTCACTCTCTCTCTCTCCCTCTCTCTCCCTCCTACTCTATCTGTACAAAAAATGGAAAAATATCCTCGGGTGAGGATAAAAAACAAAACAAAACAAAAAAAATGCCACTCCTGATTTGGTCTGATCAGTCACGGAAAAAAGCAAGGCTGTTTCCTCTAGTTCTGTGTGTTTCCCTTGATGCCCTTGGTCCTGTCCTCTCTTGCAGCTGCCAGAGTAATCAGCCAGAATGTGTGGCTTTATTCACAGGCTCAGAAACTGTCAGTGGTCCCTGTGTCCTTCCGCATCAAATCCTAACCACTTTTACTTGATTTTCAAGGTTCACTAATCTGGCCCCATTTTCCTTTCCCACTGCCTGTTAACATACATCCTGTTTCAGATTGGCTAGGCTAAACATACAGTGCACGCCAGCCGATAGACCATCTTGCCTTCATACCTTCCCACGTGGTTTTTTAAATCTTTATCCTCCTCTATGCCTTCCCAGATACTCTCAATGGCCCAACTCCCATCTCTTTTCACAAGCCTTCTTGATGACTGCAAGTTTCTGAAATCTATACGTTGTTCTGATCCATTTCTCTATTTAGGTCGTACATGTTTTTCAGTCTTCTAAGTAGTAGTCTTGCCCTGGTTTTTTGTATTTATTTGTAAATACTTTTGAGTTTTGTTGTGAGTGGCATCCTTTTTAAAATGACATTTTCATGTTAATTGTTGCTGATGTGTGCAAATGCTAATGATTTCGTTGTATTGATTTTGTATCTAGCAATCTTGCCTAGCTTTTAGCTCCAGTGGTTTGTCTGCAGAATCACTTGGAAGTGACTCAGGGAAGGCAGTTCTGTGAAGGCAGTCATATCTCTAGTGAAGGCAAAGATGACCGTTCATGTTATTTTCTTCCGATTTTTATTCCCCTCCCCTCCTCAAGCAAGGACTTCCAGTAGAAGTAGTGAGAGTGGATATCCTATTTTTATTTCTCCTTGTAGTAGAAAAACCGCCCAAGTTTTAGTGTGATGTTTGTGTTTCTGATATTTTCTAACAGATTAAGGAAATTCTCTTCTATTTCTAGTTGAAGAGTTTCAGTTATTGATTGGCTGCTGACTTTTACCATGCTCTTTCCCCACTGGATGATCAGATGGTTTTTCTCCTTTAATATGTTAATAAGAATTACATTAGATTTCTAACACAAAGCACTAAACTGTGTGGCCCATTCAGACCATCACTGCATGGCGTGCTGTGTTTTGTCCACTGCATTTTCGTGTAGTTTGGTCTTATGTTCCTAGAATAAGCTCCGTACTTGTACTTTGATTTCCCAAGCACATGGCGTGTAGTCAGTACTTTGGGATTGATTTCATTTATTTAGTTAGATATTCCTCTGTTGCCTGATGACTACTCTCAGATATTCATAAGATATTTGAATATTGGAATCAGCATCTTTGAGAACAGGCAAACCAGTTCTACCCGATGTGCCTCTTTCTGGAGTGTTACTGGCCAGCTTTTTTATGACTGTCTCTCTTTACTTTACTGGCTCAGTAAAGAATTACCAGCTTTTTTTTCTGTCTTCGTTCTCTAAGGAAAATTGAATATAAAACCTAGCTTACATTTTCAAAATGTGCTGCTCTGTGGTGGTGATAGAAGGGATACAGGTTGTATCTTCAGCAGCTTTTTGTTTTAATGTACAGAATGTGGGCTTTATCATTGCTTGAAGCAGTTGTTGAACACACCTGATGATGATCTCCATACTGAAATCTCAAGTGGTTAAAGACCATGGCACGGAAATGGGTGGATTTCCATCCTGCCTCGGAATGGAGAGGTCTTCTGGCAGCTGTGGCTGGGACTAACATTGAGAAATAAAGTTATCACTGTGCCTTTGTTGTTAGAGAACGGTACTTTTGGTTTTCTTGTCATTATGTAGCTTTTCTCACCTGATACTATAAAACTTTCTTAGGTATCCTTTTAAATGCTAGGTTTGCTAAATAAAATGAAGTTATTTTTAGATTTCTTAAGCAGTTGCCAGTAAATATAAGATGGCTCATATTCTGTCATAACTTGGTTTGGGCGTGCACTTTTTGAAAATGTAATTTGATGAGTCACATTTCAGATCTGTCAGGTAGTATTCACTCTGTGTTGCCAGGAGCTGTTCCAAGATAAAAATTGTAGCTTTATTTGCACACATAACAACCTTTTGGTTGGGGAAGGGGTTGAGCAGCAAATGATCAGACATCAGATTGCTTGGCAGTTGGCTCTCTTCCTTTTGACTTCTTGCTTTTTTTATGGCACTAGATACAGTGTTGTGACTAGCCTGCTCCTGTGTCCATGAGTAAGGACTGACATTTTCCTTGGAGCTCTCGTGCAGAGCCAGCCATTTATGTGCGTGGTCCTCGTTTTTTCACTCTGACATTTCCATTCTTTCAAATATGTATCCAACCTGGAAACCTTGAAGTTGTTGTTCAGTCCTCAGTTTTATCCCGTATAGCTGATATTTTACCAAATCTGACTGATTTTTCTGTAGTTTTGAGATGTAATTTACACCTACAATTCACCCATTTAAAGTGTAGAATCAGGCCCGGCCTATGTGGCTCAGTGGTTGACTGTCGACCTATGTACCAAGAGGTCACCAGTTCGATTCCCAGTCAGGGCACATGCCCATGTTGTGGGCCCGATCCCCAGTGGAGGGCATGCAGGAGGCGGCCAATCCATGTTCTCTCTCATCGATGTTTCTCTCTCTCTCTCCCTCTCCCTTCTTCTCTCTCTAAAATCAATAAAGAAAAATAAAAAAATAAAGTGTAGAATTAGTGGTTTTTAAGATATTCACAGAGTTGTGTAACCATCACCATTATCTAATTTTATATCTAATATTTCATTGCCTGTAAAAGAAACCACATACCCATTAGCATTCATTTCTCATTCCCCTCTTCACCCCCAGCCCTGAACAGCGATAATTTATTTTGTGTGTCTAGGGATTTGACTGTTCTGGACAGTTCCTTTAAATGGAATCATACAAGCCTTGTCCGGTTTGGCTCAGGTGTCAGAGTGGCGGTCCTTGGACCAAAGAGTCGCAGGTTCGATTCCGGTCAAGGGCAGGTACCTCAGTTGGGGTTCGGCCCCTGGCCCTGGATGGGGTCTTGTGGGAGGCAACCAGTCGATGTGTCTCTCTCACATAGATGTTTCTCTCTCTCCCCCCCTCCCACTCTGTCTGAGGATAAATGGAAAAATATCCTTGGGTGAGGATTTAAAAACAAAACAAAAAAAACCCTCGAAGCTTAATGAGTGTTGGCTCTTTTGATGTGAAGGGAATGCTTTAAATTTTCATGAAGCAGTTTTGTTCAGGAGAATAGTTATCCAATGGTGTAAGCATTTATAGTTCTCTAAAACTTGTGCCTTTATCTCTTGTCACTGAGTAAGAGCTGGTTAGGGGACCTGTGTTCCCTGCGGGTCTCAAGTTCCCTGCCCATTGGACTTCGCCCATGGCAGAGTGCCTAGCCCTGTGCTGTCTTGGTGGCATGTCCTATTCTTTTCTTTCGTCGTGTGTTTTAGTTTTGGAGTGTGTATCTGTATCTGATTTTAAATTGTCCTGTGTTCCTTGTTGTGAATTACCCTGACAAATCACTTCTCCATCCTGGGCCTCATGTTTTTGAAATATGAAGAGATTGAATGTGAAAGTTCCTTCAGTTTCTAAGATCCTATGATTTAACTGTACACCTTTAAAAAACTGAATACTTTTTATTTGATATTGTGAGGAATGACAATACTCAACCAAAAAAAGAAAAACAATTGCAGCTTTTAACAACAAAAAGCAGAACTTTGATTTGGGTTTCTAGAACGTATAATCAAGTGTGTATGGGCGTTGTGAGAAGCGAGGAGAATTTAGGGTAGATTTGTTCAGTGCTCCCATTTATTCTTTTGGTGTTTCTCTTTGACCATTTGGAAGGATATTTCTATGTTTATATTATAGAAACAAGATGTGAATTTCACACTGTGTACTGTCCAGCCCTAGACTGGACCCTGGGGTCTTCTAACTATCCCGAGCTCCTTAGGAGAACACTGTCTCTGTAGTTTGGTTTATAGCAGATGGTACCAAGCTCAGTGTTCACTCTAACTCTCCTGTTCTATTCTTGCAGCTTGGATTTACTTTTGGCAACCTGGTTGGAATGTATCTGGCTCAGAATTATGACGTAAGTGACCATATTCACTTCCTCCGTGATTCCGTGCAACTGATTTCTAGTGACTTCCCTTTGTTGCAATAAGGTGACGCTTCCAGCATAGATGAGGTCCATAGATCTGAGGGGAAAGTCCTGAATTTTGTAGAAAGATTCTCCAAAGTCACAGAAGCATCGTCCTCCATATCACCACAGGAGGGCAAAATCCCATCGCTTTAGATGATCTCAGGGTGATACTGAGCTGTGTTTGTTAGCCCAGAGTAAGAGTAAGTTAGATCCTTAGATCATGTGATGTGCATGTCATGTGATAAGTGAGAATGTAAAGATTGATTGGATAATCTTTTCAGGCTCCAGACCCAGGAAGAAAGATGACTGAGAACGTTGGAGGTGGGTCTGTATAGTGCAGTACATTCAAGGAGGGACAGAGTTTTGAGAAGGGGGCATTGTAGCCTCACTTTATAGATGGGGAAGTTGAAAACCAGGTGGTAAAACTGCCCATGCATGGGGATTCTGGAAAGGTAGTAATTGTTTTAAAGAGACAAGGAAGGGAAACGTGATATTAACTTTTGTAGTGAAGCTTTTAGTGTGACAAAGGGAATTCCCTCTGTCAGCCTTCACCTGAGTCATATGGTGTTCTAGGCAGGCGCTTTATCCGTCTGTATCACGTTTATTGTTTTCACGTACACCTTGTACTTGCACTGGATTGAGGGGCTAAGTGGGTCTGTAAAAGTCAAAGTCGAGGTCTGGCTTCCAGGAAGGGAGCATACTTTAACTGACAACTTCTGAGATCCTTCTGTTGCTGTCGGGAGGTTAAAAACAACACTATTTAGCAGGTCTCTTTCAGAGGAAAAGAAAAACTCATACAACCACCATTTATTTTTGGAGGAAGAGAAGTCAAAGGATATTGATTGGTTAGATACAAAATTATAATAATCTCTTTTCTCTTTAAAGATACCAAACCTGGCTAAAAAACTTGAAGAAATTAAAAAGGACTTGGATGCCAAGAAGAAACCCCCTAGTTCATGAGGCCAACTCCGGCGCTGCCTCCAGGAAATCCTGGCCGTACTCTTCTCCGGGCCTCCTCTACATCTGAACCAAAGCTCTGTCTTACCTCCAGCATCAGCCTTTGCTAGACCCTGCGCTGCTTCGAGCACAAATGGGGCCACGAGTTAAGAACTGTCCGTCCTTACTTTCCCAACATCTCACCTCTTCCCTGCCTCCGTCCAGCTGCTTGGGAGGTCCTAAGACTGGAATTATGGTGCTAGATTAGTAAACATGACCTTTAATTAGTAGTCTCTCCCTTATTCTTTGGGATTTCTACTGCCTTTTTCAAAAGAAAAATCGATGAGTTTTGTATAGCTAATCAGATATAAATAATATTGATTTCATAGGTTAGCAATGATAATGAGTGTTGAAACATTTGGTATTAAATCATGTTGTTTCCAGGTCATTAAAATTACAATGTAGAAGCCAGTTTCTGGTGAATTACCCATTTATTTTATACTGTTCTCAGTATAACTGACATATGACTCCACAGTTGCTCATTTAACCAGTAAATCAATTTGCTACCCATCAACTGAGAAACTAGTCTGAGAACCCATCAGAAACTGGGGAATTAAAAATATGTAAAATGGTGGTCTTTGTCCTCAGTAGACTTCGTAGTCTTGAATACATGCTTTCCCTTAGTGATGTATTTGATCTGACTCTTTTTCCTCAAGAGAATCACGTGTATTTTAAGTATAGGTGTATTTGACATTACGTGATGGATAAATGAGTTTTATATAAAGGAAATTGTATGCCTTTTCACATTTTAAAAAAATGTATTTACATTATAGCTTCATAGTGGTTCTCACAAGAACACTTTTTTTTGTTGCAATCAGAAATTATCATTGTAATTTGTCAAATATATAATCGGTCCGTTTTAAAAAAGTAAACAAAAATGTTTGAATGCATCACTTTTCCCGTGGGTCAAGATACAAGAGTGATTTAGACTAAAGGGCTTCTCCCACCTCTAGCTCCTAGTTCCTCTTCCTGGAGGTAGGCACTGCCACCAGCTCACTGTGCCTAAACACGTGTGCATGGGCTGTTTGCACAAATGATGACAAACTATACATAGATTCTTTCAGCACCCCCCCCCCCCCTTCATATGAGTATGTAGGGAACAAAGAATCTCTACTTTTTTGGCTACATAAGATTCTGTTGAGTGAATACACCATAATTTATTTAATCTATTATCACTGATGAATAGTTAGGCTGTTTCCTGTCTTTTGCTGTTACAGTGATAACCTTGAACCTAATGTTACTATACGTATCTATGCAGGGTATAGCCATAAGCTAACATCCTAAAACTATAATTTGCACTAAATATAAGTAAAGTCTCATTTTACTGTGTGTTTTGTTTCAGAGGGCTTATTGGGCAGCTTCACAGATAATGCCATTTCTGAGGACATTTTAGCAGAATCAGCAAACTGGAAGATTATTTACCTTTTTTCAGACAGCGATGATGCTGATACTACATGTGATTATAAACTGAAGTGATTCTGCTTCTCTTTGAAAACATGGATCTCTCCTACATGGAGATAAGTTTTATCCATCAGTTCATCCTGGTATGTGAGACAGATTAGGATCACAATATGGTTTGGCTTCTCCCTAGCAGTGTGACTGTGGGCAAACAGCTTACTTTTCTGAAACTGTTGTATTCTCTGTAAGATCTGGACACAATACCTACCTCACAGGGCTTCCAAGAGAAACACTTGTGATAATGTATGTGCTGCACGGTGCTTTGCAAATTTGCCCAATAAATAGTAGATTTTAGTCCAAACTTGCTGCTTTGGGTCAGAATACTTTTGCTTCTCTGCAGTCACTTTTTGAACCATGCAAAAGTTGTTATTCTGTGGTCGTGCTCTTGGTTGTAGACGAAAATCTACCACCTGGTCATACCACCTGGCTCCCAAGATTTGGTGTTAAATGACTGAATAATTATCAGGATGACTGACAGCCTTGAAGAATGAAGGTTTACTACCCTTGTGGGTATTCAAAGTGCTACAAAGCTTAGGTCTGCTTTGTTATCAGTCATGGCAGCTTTGTTATTTGTGTATGGTCTCCCAGAGTGGCTTCTTTGGGGAGGAAGGTCACTTAGATGTTAGGCGAAGGTCTGTCTATATTATACCTTGTAAACAAAGATCATTTGGATTTAGGGCTTCCCTCCAGAGTGACGCATAACCTCCCCGAAGGGGTCATTTCTGCTGGGGGGAGTCATCAGACCGCTGCATGGTGAACACTGGCCGACTCAGTGGGCACCGATCACGTGCCCTTTCCTCGTTTTAAATTCTTGCTCAGTGAAAAGGGGCTCAGAGCCCTGGCCGGTTTGGCTCAGCGGTTAGAGCGTCGGCCTATGGTCCAGAGAGACTCGGGTTCGGTTCCTGCTAAGGGCACGTACCTCGGTTGCAGTTTGTCCCCGGCCCTGGTTGGATCGTGCGGGTGGCAGCCACTCGATGTGTCCCTTTCACATCGATGTTTCTCTCTCTCCTCTCTCTCCCTCCCACTCTATCTGAACAAAAAAAAAAAAAAAGGGCTCAGAGTCCTGAGGCTCTTCGCTGAGACGGAGGAGGAGCCCAGACCAGCACAGATTAGGGCGTAGTTGTGGACAGGGTCGGGGTGGAGGTAGCAGCGATTGTGATTGTGGCACAGAAAGTGACGTTCCCCAGCAGAGAGGTGGGGAGAACCACTGCAACATGTGCCCTTTTCCCTTTAAAAATGTTTGAAAACTTCTGCTGATGTGATTTCAGAAAACGTACTGCCACACTGGACCATAAAAGGAAGGTTACTCACTCACGTGAAAAATAAGACCAGGATGGATGTTGGGAGCCTAGTACCTTGAACTTGAAAAGCTTATCCTTACACTGTAACCACCCCCAACAAAGGGAGAGAAAAACCAAAACCACCTTATTTAAAATCATCAAAAGGGGTTGTAGTTTACGTTATTTTATTTTAGTTACTTGATGTCTTAATAGACTTTTCTTCTGATATGATGTTTTATGCAATGAGGCAGTTACCTGCTTCTGATTCAAGGGGAGAATTTTGTTTCTTTTTTCTAACTTGTTTCCACTTGTATGACTGTAGAGTGCGTGGTTTTTCCGGCTGTTGGGCACACAGGCTCATAGAGCATATGCACACGTGTGAGGTTTTCATTTCCACAAGGCAGCTCACTCCCAGACACCGCTGGTGTGTGTTCTCCGGGCTGCGGTCTCCCGCTTCTAATGCTCTTGCTGTCACCCCCCCTGAAGGAACGCTCTATCCTGGGCTGGAAAATGAGGCTTTTCTTAAACCTCCCACTTGGCCTTTGCACACAGCATTTCCATTCCTCACGCAGACGAATGAGTCCTTTCTCCCTGCTCTTAGGCCTCGTGGAAAGGAACAGGGCGGCGGAGGGAAAATATTTTGAGACGTTGCCTGGTCTTAATAAGGGAGTTAGTGACATTTAGATTGTAAGTGCTCCGTGTATACCTTTTCTAAATCTGGGTGCGACACACTTAGTCACATACCCAAGACCTCACACATAGCATGTTTTGCAAGGCATGTGGAAACAAAAGAACAAAGTGAGGTTTTTGTGGAAAGTGTGTGGGGTGGGCACTGCCAGCCCCGAGTCCTGGGCCTGCTTAGCTCCTGGCGTCCGTGGTGAGCCCCGAGGAAAGGTGCCTGGTGGGTGCGTCACTCTGACACGGACGGTTGCACGGGACTGGAACAAGACAGGTGCCATGGGAATAGTGCGGGCGCGTGCGCTCAGCATTCATGCGGCCAGGGCAGCCCCGGAAGGAGCTGCCTGTGGACGTGGGTGGTCTCCGTCCCCTTTGTGTAGTAATGGTTTGAACTTCTTACCACCCTGGGGACTCGAATGCTGAGATACACTTTTCCAAACACGGGCCCCAGGTGTAAAGCTCATTACGTTATCTGGGATCTAGCTGAAGAAACGGATCTAGTCTGACACTAGAGAGAAAACTAGCTATTTTTGTTTATTAAAAGATGGCATGTGAGCCCTGGCTGGTGTGGCTTGGTGGGAGTGTCGTCCCGTACACCAAAAGGTGGGTGGTTCGAGCCCCGGTCTGGGTGTATGCAGGAGGCGACAGATCAGTGTTTCTCAGATCAGTGTTTCTCTGTCTCTGTCTCTCTCCCCCTCCCTCCCTGCTTCTCTCTAAAATCAATAAGAGAAGATGGCACATGAGTCTTTGTGCCATGTAAATATAAGGTAAAAAAAAAAAAGCTTCTATACCATGTGCTCCATGGGTGACTTAAAGGAATCTCAAAGGCAACTTTGAACAAATCTGATATGTAATTGATTTAAGAAGAGACAACTAGACTCAGTGTCTTTGTTTCTCAGTTTCGCCATCTGCCAAGTGAGCTAGTTTGTCCTGAACCTCTGGTGTGGGGATAGGACAGGTCTCTTCCGTAGAAAGGTCAGTAGAGCCTGGCCGGTGTGGCTCAGTGGTTGAGTGTTGACCCATGCACCAAGAGGTCACCAGTTCGATTCCCAGTCAGGGCACATGCCCAGGTTGTGGGCCTGATCCCCAGTGAGGGGCATGCAGGAGGCGGCCAATTGATGTTCTCTCTCATTAATGTTTCTATCTCTCCTCCCTTTCTCTCTCTCTCTAAAATCAAAAAATAAAAATAAAAAATAAATAAAAATAAGTATGATTGAAAAGTTTTTAAAAAACAAAGGTCATGCCCTGGCCAGTTTTGCTCAGTGGTTGGAGCATCAGCCTACGGACCAGAGAGTCCTGGGTTCGGTTCCCACTAGGGGCACCTACCAAAAACAAAAAACAAAGGTCAGTAGACTGGACTGAAATGAGCACTCGGTGTGAATGGGTGGTTGAGTGCTGGGCTCCTCGGAGGGTGTGGCAGCTGCTGTGGGGTTCCGCCGCTTCCCAGAGTGCTGAGCAGTGGGTCAGGTTCTCAGAGCGCTGAGCAGTGGCCGGTAATTCTGCATCAGCTTTTCTTTCTCTCTTTAGTTATACTCCCAGAATCTTATGGATTATCTGCATCTTTGACTTATTATCTGACTTAGGGCCTTCATGTCTCAGCCATTTGATGACACTCCCGACAGGAGGAGTGACACCCCGACTCTTCCGAATATCTAAAACCAAACAACTAGAGATGCGGGCTCGATCCAACCAGCCGTAGTTACCTAAGACTGGTATTTGGGGCTTATTGGGTCAGTCACTTGTCTAAGTAGCCAAATACCTTGGCCTAAGCTCATTGACAGGGAAGAAATGGTAATATTCCTGGTTAAACCTGGTCAATCATATGCAGTAGTCAGAGCGTGAAAGTTGACCGGCACCAAAGTTTGACAATTCACAAATACTTGATAAACCAAGGAGGTGACTCCATTGATAAATTGTGAAAAAATGGCACATGCTAATAATAGGAACTTAAAAATCAGTGAAAACAATGAATAGCTATGGGGCAACCCTTTCCCATAAGATGTGTTTAGCAAGTAACTGGTGGGAATCAGAAGTGCATGACACCGGAGGTTTGGGAGCTATATCCAGTCATCTAGCAAGGACATCCGTCCTGGAGAAAATGGCCTGGTTTTCAGGAGGAAGAAGGAGGCTTTGATTTCCAAAGTGATTTTTCTCAAGGGAAACATTTATTGAGCAATTTCAATTGACTATGTTGTCTAAGCAGCTGGGGACTTTCCAAGACAAAAGACGTCTCTCTCCTCCACTCTTATAGAAAGTGACAGATGGGTTTGGACCTTTCTGTACCTGTCTTCTCGTTCCATCCAGAAGAAAGCCAGTCAAATATCATTAACAGTGCTGTGGTCTTCGTTATAATTTTGGCATCCTTAATATAAGACAGGTATGAAGATTCTTCTTCCCTCCCAGGACTTAACCAACACGGTGGTGCTGACGGTTTGTGACGAGTGGAGAGAGATGCAAATGGCCAGGTCCTTTCTTTGCGTCCTTTTCCTTTGACCGAGAACAGCGCCAACCTTTTTCGAAAGGGGAACACTGTTTCTTTATAGGAATTTGGTGCCACAGTAAAGAGAAGCCATTGAAGAGAGATGCTTAAAAGGGAATCAGAGCAGTGGTAAGAATTCCGCCTGCCACAAAGAGGGATTGCTAAGAATCGTCTTTTTGTGGGAGAACTTAGGACAGAAACTCTTAAGACAAAGAAGCTGATGTAAGGCAGGTCTCAGGTTCTAGGTGAGATTTTCCTACGAAAGAGATGGCACCGGTTTCAGTCTCGGTGCACAGGCAGGAGATTTGGATTTCTCCGTCAGCTCCTACAAAGGGATTAAGAAATGAAGGAGGACATCAAACCTCGTGGGGCTCGTGGGGCTCGTGGGTGTGCGACAGGCTTTCTGCTCTTCTCAGGGTCACTGCAGAGTCTAGGTACAGAGAAGTGAGAGCGGTGGGTTTTCTGGAGCCCGGGCTGTGGGAGCGTCCTGCACCAAGGTGGTAGGTGGCGGAATCCTGGGGTCCTGTGCTCTGGCGGTGTTCTTGGCCTGGTTGGCAGGCGGATCCTGCTGGGTGCTGGCGGCTCCTCTGATGGGGCTGTGCGCCCCCTTGTGTTAAGCCCGGTCAGTGATGTTACTGACCGTAGCCCAGGCTGGGAAAGTGTCCAGGTCGAAGAGGCTAACACCCCACGTATTGATAGCCACCGTCACGATCACCAGGCCAATGACATTGACCCCCAGGCCAGCTTTCACCTGTGGGACACAGACCAGCACACCCTAGTCACCTAGTGGGCAGTGGCTCAGAGCCCTGAGTGCCCTCCGCTGTGCCCTGCCCAGCCCTTGCCTGCCATGATCACCCACGCGCTTGACCCTGTTTGTTCCCTGCACTGCCTGTGGGTGGCACAGGACGGGGGAGGACAGGGAAGGGGGGCCCGGGGCTGGGAGGGGCTGTTAGAATCCTGTCCGCTTGCAGCTGTCACTGTTGAGGAGGCCTGAAGGCGCGTCCTGGGAGGTTTCACCGTTCAGAGTTGCAGTAAAAGGTCCTGCAGCCGCATGGCGGGGGAATGTGTGAAACAACACAGCCCAGGTCTCCTGAGACAGGAACTTCTCAGCCTGTCACGTGCTGGCAGGAGGGGACTCGTGGGAGGCGCTGTCTTCTATGGAGCCTTGCCCACTTACCCCGTTTGGATTTTTCTCAAGGAGCTGCTCACGGAAGCTGTGTGTCCTGGGCTCACCCCGGGGAACGGGTAGGCTGCCCGTGCCCGGTCCTTCCCTGGGGAGGTGGCACAGGCGTGCCAGCTTTGCTCCTCGCTAACTCTTCCTTCTGAGGGACTGTCACCTCAGAGACTGTGACCCCTTCCATGTCTGCCACGACACTCACAGCGGAGGGGCGACGCAGCCATGAAGGACGGCCCGGCCAGGGCCAGATGGAAAATGTACAGAGGCAGCTGGCACCCCCCCGGGGCGGAACCCAGCGCACAGCCTGTGGCCACAGCAAGCCCACTAGCTGGCATGGCGTTGGGAGAGTTGCAGGGGAAATGAACGCTAGGGAATGGTTCCAAGCAAATGACTGGACGGGTCCCCGCTGCTTTTTGGCACAAGCCCTGGACGAATTAATCCTTCTGGCGCCCTGGCCTTTGGGGGTGGAGAACCGCCATGTTCCCTAGCAGGTGCAAGGGGTGCAGGTTCTAAAGGAGCTAAATCGAGGTCATTTGGAGCTGAAGGGGACCCCGCAGAGCATCTAGTCTGGACCTCCTCCTTTAGCAGGTGAAGAAACTGAAGTCTCAAGTCAGTGCCCCAGCTGGGAGTAGAACCCAGGACCGGCTCACTGCCTGTCATCTGGTGGTTTTGAAAATCACTGCCTCTGATCACTTGATTCCATGGTCGCAGGCTGGGGTGAGCAGCAGGGGCACACAGCAGGTGGTGCAGGGGGAGAGTTGGGGCAGAGCTCAGCAGGAGACCGAGGGCTGGCCGTGACCTCCCTCCCCTGAAGTATGACAGAAGACCTGGGAGCAGTTTGAACGGTAGAAAGGATCTGAATATCTGCTACCAGCCTGAAGCGCTCTCTCCTCCACGTGGTACTTACGGGGCCGCTGAGAATGAGTTGGACTCCAGTGAGAAGAATATTTGAGACCCTCAGCAAGGGTGACCGGACCTATTTCAGACGGCCAGGCCCCCAGCCCCATCAGCCTGGACAGAGGGGTGGAAGGCGGGTATGCCCACCACGAGTCAGCAGCACAGTGTCCCCCACGGCCATCTGTGAGCCCAGCTCAAAACTAAGACGAGCTCTGATGCCTCATTTGCTGCTGTTGCTTCGGGAATCCCTGCCTGGGGGCGAATTCAGCAAAGGGATCCTGTGCTCCAAATACCTTTCACCTTAGGTTCGTCCAGTTTCTCAAACTTCACCTTCTAGGAATGAACCAGCTGTTTGGATGACTGTCCCCACTCGTCCGATGAAGAGACTGCAGCAAAGACTGCAAGCTCACGCCTTCTGGAACGGGGCCACGTCCTGTGTCTGTGCCAGCTCTCCGCCCACGTCCCACTTTCTCCCCAGACCTTGTCACCAGCGCCACCCTTCCCACCTCACTAGACTGAGTGTTGACAGGCCAAGGGAACCGCTGCGGAACGATAAACGAGAGGGCCGTGGGGCCAGTCATCCTTCCTGGCAGCTGGGCCTGGCAAAGCCGCGGCGTGACTCACCATGTCTTTGATCTGGCAGTGCCCGTAGCTGAAGACGATGGCGTTGGGGGGGTTGCCCACAGGCAGCATCACTGCGAAGGAGATGCACATGGTGACTGGGATCAGGGTGTAGAGCGGATTGATGTGCAGCGTCTCGGACTAGCAGAAGACAGAATGCACAGAAGCGTTAGCATTGCCATCACACTTGCGTCTCCTGTGCTCGGCCTCACGGACGTGCTTTTCACGACGGCTCGGTGCTGGCCAACCTTGGCTGGACACCCTGTGCTTGGGGTGGAGTCACTGCGCTCAAGGGCACGCGGTGCTGGCCAAGCCAACTGTGCTCGTACCACTCACTCCCCATGGCAACATGGCTGAGTCACTCCGAGGACGGATGTTGCATTTCTTGGTGCTGGCCTAAGGAAGTGGTTTTTCAAGTTTATTCTTTAGCTGAGAATTTTTTTCTTCAAATACAAAGCTCGTGAATAAGCTGCTTTGATTGACGTAGAGACCCCCACCCTGGGGTACAGAATTAAGGCGCCTTTTTTCTTGCTCTATGTGGATCGAACCCATCGGCTGGCCTCGGCGTTGCCAGGGTCTGACTAAGCACACCCCCTGCTCGCACTAGCAGGATGCTGGAAGGCAGGGGTTGGAGGGGCACCTGAATAATGAGCGCAGAGTTTGGGGCTGAAAGAGCAGGAGGACATTGTTTCCTGGGGACGGGGAGGAGCCTTCATTCGGGAGGGTGTCTGGTGCATTACCCTGGGGGTGCATTACCCCGGGGCTGCGTAGCCAGGCTAAGATGTGGCAGCTGTTCCCCTGCCCTGAACCATTAATAACATTGTTCTGAGGTCGTGGAATGGGGCTGGTCTTGCCCCCGACTCTCAGAACCTTCTGGACACTGAAATTGGGTGGAAGTGATGGGGGAGCTGTGGTCTCGGTCCTGTGGCAGAGTGTACTTCTGGGAGCATTTTGTCTGTTTTCTGTAGTTACTCCTCTAGCCCAGCTGTTAGGTCTCGTCTCAGGAGAGAAAGGTTGATGATCGTGGGGAATTGGAATCTAGGCTCATAAGGTTAAGTTGTTCTTTCTCATTTCCATTCAGGGCCGCTCCTAAATGAATCGTAGTCTTTTGGGAAAGGGTTCCGAGAACCCTTGTTGTGGTTTATTAATTTCTCTGTTTACCTATCAGTTGCTATCCGAAAAACGTAATGTTTCAAACAATGGTTTGAACACCAGTGAGCAGAGGCTGTGGAAAGGACCAAGGGGGAGAGGACAGCATGGAAGCTGCCCCCCCGCCCAGGTCGTCCATGGGGAGCCCTGCTCCACTCACCAGGCTGCACAGGATGGGCAGGAAGATGGTGATGGTGGCCGGGTTGCTCACAAACTCGGTGACGATGGACACCAGGATACATGCCAGCAGGGTGACAGCCCACGGGGGGAGGCTGCTCAGGGACAACATCTGGTGCCCAATCCACGTGGAGAGGCCGGAGCTCTGCAGGTCGAGGGGCGCAGTTAGAATACAGGAGGGGAAGCAGGGCCCAGTGGAACTTGGGACTCGAGGCAGGGCTGTGGGGGCCGGAGGAGCCACAGGAGTCATCTAATTTCTTCTCTATTTCAGGCAGACTGGACTCGGCGGCATTCCTGATTTTTATGGTTGGATCATTTCTGTAGCCCAGAAAAGTCTTTCTGATGATTGTACAACACTCAGTCTCAGGGTTTCCTGGCAGCTGCTGTCACGGGAGCGGAGAGCCACCCACCGCGATTGCCATGACCCTGCTGAGGACTCTGCCGTGACGGCTTGGCAGGGCTGAAGATCCGTGGGCAGTCAGCCCCTCAGCTCCAGCCTCATCACTGTCTCCAGCTCTGCCACCCTCGCTCGGGGCCCAGTCAACAGTGCCCTCGACACAGGCTGCCAAGAGCAGTCCTCCTGCTTTTGAAATGTTTCTCTCATCACCTGAGAAAGGGGAAAAACTAGGCACATCTGAAGGGAGTACCCTGCCCTGTGTTTGGAGGGGGAGTGGGCTGGCAGAGCGGAACAGAAGTTTACCGAGTGCGGGAGGAGGGAGGGGCTGCATGTCTGTCTGTCTCCGTTTAGCGGGGGAGGCGCAGCCTCAGTGGCCTGGGGCGGGGCCTCCAGCCACAACCTGCTGTAGTTTCCATCCCACCATGGCTGACCTCAGGGTCTACGACCTGCCAGTGCTTTTTCTAAATCCTCACCCGAGGACATTTTTGCATTTATCTTCAGATAGAGCAGGAAGGGAGAGAGGGAGGAAGAGGGAGAGAGAAACATCGACGTGAGAGAGACACATCGAGTAGCTGCCACCCACACAACCCCAACCGGGGCCGGGGACAAACTGCAACCCAGGTACGTGCCCTTCGCGGGAACCGAACCCGGGACTCTCTGGACCGCAGGCCGACGCTCTAATCGCTGAGCCAGACCGGCCAGGGCCTGCCAGTGCTCTTTGATGACACAGCTATGAAAGCATATTGCCACTCCTGAGCCTTTCCCGTTAGCAGCGTGTATGTACATCCACTCCAAGACCTGAGTATTCCCATTTGGACTGACGCGTTGGATGGAAGCTGTTCGTCTGGCACTGGTGAGGGCTCTCCCCCGCCCCAGATGAAGAGCACTGTTTCGTTTTTGTACCAAAACCCCCCGTGTACAGCCTCCCACGCTCCCTCCCTCCTCTCCCTTCTATGCTCTGATTTTCCCTGAGGGCCTGGGTTGCTTTGCTCAGTGGTTAGAGCGTTAACCCAAAGACGGAAGGGTCGTGGGTTCGATTCTGGCCAAGGGCACGTACCTGGGTTGCAGGTTCCATCGTTGGCCCTGGTCGGGGTCGTGCGGGAGGCAACCAATTGATGTGTCTCACATCGATGTTTCTCTCTTTCTTTCCCTCCCCTTCCCTTCCACTCTCTCTAAAAATCAATGGGAAAACATCCTCAGGTGAGGACTGAAAAAAAGAAAGAGAGATGAGGCATAGGGCCGAAAGCAAGGGGAGACAGTTCATGATGTCTCAAGCAGTACGTCTCATTCACGTTTTCCAGTTCAGGTTGGCCTCTACACTGTCAGCAGGCTACTGTTCTCTTCTCCCACTTCATCACAAGCTGGTTTGATCTCCACCGCGCCCGGCCGCCTCACGGCGAGCTCACAGGCACGGATGGCCAGGCCCTCAGTTCTCCGCCGTGGCCACTTCACCCTGGAGCGCCTGCCTTTACTGCCTCCCCTCCACTGACTGAGGGCCGAAAGTGCCGTGTGCGGGGGCTGCATCATTTCACGGTGGGTGCAGAGCTGTGCGGCCTACACGCACTCAATTGTTACCTCTTGTAACACATCGAGCCTGCTCACTGGACAAGGACAGCGGAGAGAGAGCAGTTGTTTGAGTGGAACCTGGACATTTTTATAAAGAAATAGTTTTGCTTACAGTGTCATCCAAATAGCACGTGTAAGCAAAGTGAAGTAATTTAATGGGAGTTATTTTTCCCCAGAACTATTGTATATTATAATCGGAGATAAATTGATAAATTAAACGGCAAAGTTAGGGGAAACAAACACAACAAAGGAAGCTGTAGTTGTTTAAACCCTTGGTGTGAAAACATTTTACATTGGATTCTCCTCCCTAATGTCAAGACTGAAATGATTTCAAACTTAGTAGGAATCACATATATTGTATGTGGATTATATTAAAATTAGGAGAGTTGGGGTTATCAACTGTACTAACTTACCTGCATAATTTTGGTTAAAAGGAAAAAGATGTTGCCAGGCTCAGCTTGGAGGCCAAAACTAATAACTGAAATTCAGTAAAGGTGCCCAGCTGGTGTGGCTCAGTGGTTGAGCGTCGACCCTGCACCAAGAGGTCGCTGGTTCGCTTCCTGGTCAGGGCACTTGCCCAGGTTGTGGGCCCAATCCCCAGTGGGTGGCATGCAGGAGGCGGCCAATCGATGTTCTCGCTCATCGATGTTTCCATCTCTCCCTACCTCTCCCTTTCTCTCTCTCTCTCAAATCAATAAAGAAAAAAAATTAAAAAATAAAATCAATAAATAACAACAAACAAAAAAGAAATACAGTACAGGTGAACATGATACCCTGAACTTGCAGTTAGAAATAGCAGCATGTATACAGCACTGGCTGGAGGAGTCGAGGCTCACGAGTAGCTACCAGTGAAAAGAACGAGGGGCTTTAGTTTGCTGCAATTACAACATAAATGTTGACACGAGAGCCAGTGAAGCCTTGTAAAAGCTGCCATAAAAACCAGCATGGTGCTTGGATCCGACGTGGGAGATGGGGCTCGGGTAATGTCATGCATTATTCTCACCGCTCTGCACCGTGTCTGAGTAAGGCCAGGCGCAAGCCAGTGAGTCCCGAGAAGAGACCCAGCATGTGTAAGGGGTCAGTACTTCTGTGAGGACTAGTTAAAGGGACTCAGGAGTTTTAGTTGGTTAGAAAAAGGGATCTAGGGGGATTAATAACTTATTATTATGCCCTGGCCGGTTTGGCTCAGCAGTTAGAGCGTCGGCCTGTGGTCCAGAGAGACCGGTTTCGGTTCCCGCAAAGGGCATGTGCCTCGGTTGCAGTTTGTCCCCGGCCCTGGTTGGGTTGTGTGGATGGCAGCCACTCGATGTGTCTCTTTCACGTCAATGTTTCTCTCTCTCTCTTCCTCCTTCTCTCCCTCCCGCTCTGTCAAAAAAACAACAAACAAAAACATTATTATTATTATTTTAATCCTCACCTGAGGATATTTTTCTATTTATCTTCAGACAGAGTGGGAGGGAGAGAGAGAGAAACATGAACATTAAAGGGACACATCAGCAGGTTGCCTCCCACACGACCCCGACCAGGGCCTGCGATGACCCACAACCAAGGTACGTGCCCTTGACCGGAATCAAACCTGCGGCTCACTGGTCCGCGGGCCAACGCTCTACCGCTGAGCCAAACCGGCCAGGGCAATAACTTACTATTTTAATAATTATGCCCTAGGAGAGGTTTCCAGAGTGCAGAGCCAGAACCGTCAGAGGAAGACACAGAAGCCCTGAGCTGGAAGTAAACTCTTCTTCGCTCCCTGCTCAAGGAGGGCCTGTCACTCGAGGTGTTCGCCCAGGTGTCATGGGAGGAGGTCTCACATTGGGTAGGAGAGGGGACTCAGTGTCCTCCGAGGTTCCTTCCAAGTGTAGGACCGTGACATCCTAGCGAGGCAGATAGCGGTGGCCCCCAAGGAATGCGCAGTCACAGGCGAGCCACGTTTCGGGTGGGTGAACGTGGGCAGAGGCTGGAGGGAGGGACGGTGTGGACCTCCGCCTGCTCACTCGGGTCGTTTTCTACCTTAGGACGGGCAAGCACGTTAGGAAATTTAACTATTTCCCACCAGCCCCTTCAAAAGATCACAAATCCTCCCAGTGAGGAAATCGGGGGCATTTACATCAATGAGCTTTAGCATAGATTCTCCATGGAGGTTCAGTATTGGCAATGAGCTGACTGGGACATCCGCGGTGCCACTGGGGCGTCGTTGGGCCCTTAGAGACACAGCTCCTGCCACCGCGGTCAAGCCCTCTGCTTGGGACAGCGCGGCCCTGACTCCGTGGCCCCGCTGCCCTGTAACTGGGCCCAGGGGCGCTAGCTTAGCCGCTCAGGGAGCTTGTGCTGCTTCCCTCCCCGGGGCTTGGCTGGAATTCTCCTCTCCCTCAGCGCCTTCGCATCTTCCCGCCCAGAACCGTAATGATTCCATCGGCGAAGCAGCCCAGTAAGATGCTCTGGCCCAGTAAGAACAGAACTCAAGAGCTACCTTGCTGCCAGAAGCCAGAGCGTAGCCTCCTCCCACCAGGATGACAATCTCCCAGGGCATGGTCTTCTGGAAGTCCTTCCACGTGATGATGGGCTCCATCCTGAGCGAGGGCTCCCGGTCCTCCCCTGGATCACAAGTAGGCAGGGAGCGGAGCCCGTGAACCCTGCGGGCTGATTGTGGAGATGGGGGCCGCACCGAGGAGCCAGTGGCGTGGGAGGCTGCTCTGCTCTATTTGGGCAGGATCAGAGGGCCTGGGCCAGGCTCCTTCTGAGAATTCTGACTGGGGTGCCATTCGACTAGAGCCAGCCCCCACTCTCCCCCGAACTCTCTCACCATCCTTCTTTTGCCCAAAGCACGGCTTCTTCGCCGGAATCAGGAAGAGGATGAAGCCAAGGAAGACGGAGACTGTGGCGTCGGTGCGGTAGCCTTTCCTGGCAAAGGGACAGGGGCAGCGTGATGTCTCAGGACACGAGGCCTCTTGTAGGACAGTCTGGAGGGGACGCACCCTTCCTTCTTGCCAGTGGGCAGGGGTTGGTGTCTGGAGGCAGGGCCTGGCTCGGGTAGATGACTGAGCATTTAGAGGCCCACTTGGGGCGAATCCAGGAGTGATGAGGAGCTGCTTAGGTGAAGGAGAAGAGACAAGGATGGGTCCTCTTCCCCGTGAGGGTCACACCGCCATGTGTGTCCTTCCTCAAATGACAACCTGTGTTGGGAGAGCTTGAGGCCTGTGGCCCCGGCCCTGAGGGGGAAGACGCAGGGTTGGGACGGGAGCCTATTCTGCTGTTCCCTCCCCAGGCCTCAGCCACTCCATGGCCACAGCTTCTTTAAAGTGTTTTACTTTAGGACATTTTCCCCTTTAATTCTCAAACCACCTGTGAGGCAGCTGAGGGTCCAAGAGCTTGGGTCGCAAGGCCCAGTGCACACAGCTGGATGTGACTCGGACTCCAGACTCTTCCCCCTGACCGCCCTGCCGCTGCCCCGAGAGAGGAGCCCTGCAGGGGACAGCGCCTCCGGGCTCCAGGTCTGTGCCTGTCCCTGAGCGTCCAGGAGGGGGCGCCGGTGGACCCCGCCTGAGGAGCTCACGCGAGGGGCTTGTTCTCCAGGAGGGGACCACATCACTCACTTTTCAAAGAAAGAATCCCAGCCGGGGACAAAGCCAGGCTCCCTGGTGAACCACAGCACGGTCATGAGGACGAAGAAAAACCCTGTCACCATTTCGGGGTAGCTAGGAAACAGAACAGGAGGGCCTGCTCCAGCAGCCGGAAGCTCCTGGGAGCCCCCCACTGCTCGGGGTGCTCTGTCCTCAGGGCCCCAGGCTGGAGCAGGCAGCGTGGTCACCGCCCAACCTCTGCGCGCCGGGGCGAAGTGGGCAGGGGCTGAGCCCACGCCACGCCGTTTGCTGCAGGTGTTGGGTGAGGAGGGACACAGCAGCGTCACACGTTCACAAGACACCAGCATCCGGCCTGGTCAGAGTAGGATGGCCACAGCCTCTCTGAGGCAAACTGACCATACTTATGTCTCGGGAGCCTTAACGCTATCATTCCTTTTATCTAAGAAAATAACCAGAAAGGCCCTGGCCGGTTTGTCTCAGTGGTTAGACCGTCAGCCTGCGGACCAGAGAGGCCCGGGTTCGGCTCCCACTAAGGGCACGAACCTCGGTTGCAGTTTGTCCCCAGCCCCGGTTAGGGTCATGTGGGTGGCAACCACTCGATGTGTCTCTCTCATGTCGATGTTTCTCTCTCTCTCTTCCTCCCTCTCTCCCTCCTGCTCTATCTAAAGATAAATGCAAATAACAAAAACAAAAACAAACAAACAAACAAAAAAAGTCCTCAGGTGAGGGTAAAAAAAAAGAAAGAAAATAACCAGAAATGCACATTGAAGCATTACCTACTTAAAAACATGAGAAAAGAAAAAGAAACTATCTACTTATCTAATGATATTTCATGACTTGGAATACATTTCAGCATATTTAACTATTAAAACGAGATGCATCCAATAACACCGTTTCCACAGTAAGTGACCTGGGCACATAATGACCGTCTAATGCTAAATGAAAATAGGAAAGATATAACACTGTTTACTATGAACTGAATTTTACCGAAAGTAGTGAGTTTCGCACACAAGAAAAGCAGGGAAGGAGAGTCTGTCATGTTCACGGCGGGATGCTGGGAGGACAAGTCAGCGGTAACTTTTCCTTTATATTTCCCTCTCCTTTCTAAGTGGCCTACAATGAACACGTATTCCCTTTAGAAATCACAGTCTAAAACAACAACAGCTTAAACCCGCATCCTTTCACCCAAAGCTGCGGGTGCCAATGGCCATAAAAGGGGACACAGCGGGGACGTGGGTCGCTGCGGGGAAGCTGAGCGGAATGGCTGAGACGTGAAATAAGGAGAGAAGAAAGCAATGGCGAGGTTGGTGAGGGAGTGCTTGGACCCTCTGTCTTCAAGTCTGCATTTGATGCTCCGGACGCTCTCTGAACAAGGACGAAGGCCCCAGCTCCCCAGGAGTGGCCGCTGGACCTGCGGTGGCCCTTCTGAGCCACGCGGGGGTCCTGCCTTGAGCGAACTCAGCCACAGGGCGGCTGCGCCGTCTTGCCTCGCTCTTTGTCCTGGGGTCCCCCCCCCCCCCCCCCGTGACGCTGCGCCCCCACGCTGCGGCTGTGCCTTCCACCGGGAATACGGCCACCTGGAATCCGAGCCAGCTGGACGGTGGCAGTAAGTGGCATCTCCAACTGCTGGGGCCACGCTTGTGGGGCTTCCCAGCTCGGAGGCAAGGCTGCTGGTCCCCCGCCATGCTCTTGCTCCCGGAGGAGCGGGGGTGGCTGGTTCTCACCTAATGGCTCCCAGCTTTTCATATTCCTCTCGGATCCTCTTCTCCGACAGCTCTTCCCTTTTGGTCTTACTCTTCTTGCTCAGAGAGCAGGTCTCTTTAAAACTGAGGAGGGAGAATGAACAGAAGAATAAAGGAAACACACTTCCATGGCCCACAGGAGGTCAAATATTAAGCAAATACTAAACTGCTGGCTTCCTCTGATCGCTCTCCTCCTCCCCGCTCATGCTCTGCCCTCCAACCCCACCTGTCATAGGACTTCTATCTACCGAGTCACCCGGCCTTCTTCCCTAGCCATCCATCTTGTATTCAGTGAACGTGAAGTTGTGTCTCACGGACTTAGGTAGGTGTATTTATGTGAGTTTGTTTCTACATGCTTGTCTTTTGCACAATCGAGACTGTGATGTGGTACACGTGTAGATGTTTATTGTGTGCTGTGCACACATGCACGTGTATGTGTTCATCTGTCTAGAGACCAGGCTTGTCTGGGGTGAAAGTGAGGGCTGGTTTTCTCTTTGCAAAGCTGGAGGTGTAGAAGTATTCAGCTGTCATGGATTTGACAACAGTCTCTGGGTAATACAATAAATAAGTCGGCACAGAGGACATTCCCTGACCACTGGGAGCATTGGAGTCCATGGACTCATAGCAAAACTTCTTATATATCTTCCCTTTATGTGCTAGAAGCTGGTCACATGCGGAGTAAACTGCTGGTGATGAAGAAAAGGCTTGCTAAGCAGATTAATGTCAGCAATAATATTGCAAGAGGGATGTCCAACTTGTTTTGAGGGAAATGTGCATATTCCATACAACTGCTAAATATAAATCACCCATGCCTATAAAATTAAGCCTCAGGCAACTTCTACTTGGAATCATATTTCTTTAGAAGTCAGCTGAAATTAGTCTACATACTTTGAGAGCAAGGAAACAACATTAAACACTCTCCGATTCAGATTTTCTAGAAATCAACAGCTGCCCGAACCAGTCCGTTGTAATTGAGAACATCTCACGGTAGACTCAGTGAAGTGCAGGGCCCACGTATGTGTTGAGCGTCTAGGACAGACGAGGCCCGACGCGCCATCCGGTTCCCCGTGTCCTTCTCGGGGCAGCCTCTGTGGTTCCTGGGCAGCGCCCCCTGGCGGTGCCCTCCAGGGCTTGCGCTGTGCCCTGGGATGAACGGGTGAGCCTGTGCCCGCCGGCAGCGCCCCGGGACTCACTTGCAGCCCAGGAACAGCCAGTGCATCCAGAACCAGCTGACCACCAGCATGATGAGGGAGATGGGGAAGCTGAAGAGGAACCAGGTGCCGAAGTTGACCACCTCTGCGGCTGGGTACTGGCTGGAGGGGAAGGAACCAGGTCAGCGATCAGAAAAGGTGGATTTCCACGAGGCGTTTTGGGGATGATAAGCGAAATTCTCCTTAAGAAGACGGACAGTAGAACCCACGTAGAGATACTGATAACAGTACAACATGACCTAGAACTCACTTAGTGGACAGTTGCAAGTGGACAGAGCTCAGCCTGGCGTTATGAAGTAAAAGGCATCTTGGCCGCCAAAATTTATGTCACTGGAGTGTATATACTTCGCACTCAGGAGAATCGCTTAGGAGCTTTTTACTCTTAATTTGCGTCAAGATTCTGATCCGTTTCCTCATCTGGTTTTCAAGACCATGGAGAGGGCAGTCTCGTATACTTCTGGAGTTTTGATTGGGGATACAAAGCATCCGTTCTGGAGAACTTGGGACTCCAGGCCTCATGGAACTCCAGGGGGTAACTGTGCCCAGTGGAGAACTAAGACTTGGAATCTCCAAATCCTTACTTGATCTCCTGCTGTCTATGGATGCCAGGGAGGTTGCCCAGGGCTCCCGTTCATCCCGGGGCAGAGCTGTGCCCCCAGCCCAGGCGGTGTTCCCTGGGAAGCCAGGAGGGACCACATGTAAGCCATGACTTTAGCCTAGCAACGCCCACATTTCTTCACCCTTGGGCCCTTCTTGCTGTGCTGGGCGTAGAGCTCCTCTAAGGTGGGGGCACACTGTGCCCCTCTTTTCATGCTTGGCACTGCATGGGGAAAGAGAAGGGCCGACAGCTGGCTCCCCCACAGGAGGGCGCAAGGGAAGCACAGGATGTGAGTGTCTAATCCCCGCTCTGGGGCCTGGTCACGGACCTTCCTTTACTGGTGTCTGGGTGCCTCTTGGAGAAGTTATGACAGCTTGTGCCCCCTACAGGCCAGAGTGGGTCACTGATAGTGGGCACTGGGAAGAAGGGCTTTTGTTTTGTTTGTTTTGTTTTTACTCCTTACCTGAGGATATTTTTCCATTGATTTTTTTTTAGACAGAGTGGGAGGGAGGGAGAGAGAGAGAAACATCAATGTGTGAGAGACACATCAATTGGTTGCTCCCCCCACAACCTTGACTGGGGCCGGGGATTGAACCCATAACCAAGGTACGCGCCCTTGACTGGGAATGAAACCTGTGACTCTGTGGTCCGTGGGTCAAAGCTCTAACCACTGGCCAGGGCGAGCAGGGCTTTGGGATCTAGAAGGACGCCTGAGGACCTAAGTCATTCAGCCACTCACTGTCCTGGGCTGACAGGCGTAAATTGTTGCATCATCTCTTCTCTGTTCCTGGACCCAGAAAAGGAGTGGACTTTTACAATAGATTAAGTAGACTCTAGTGGATAAATAAAAGAGCCTAATACTGTTTATAACATTTTAAAAAGTGAGAATACATATACTGAGGGTAACAACGAATTTGTAGGTTTTTGAAACACAGCCAAAATGAACTCTAGGGATGGTCTATTCACCAATGCCAAAAACACACAGTGGCACTTTCAGACCAGAGGGGACCCAGGGAGCCCACCTTCCTTTTACAGAACCCCTGTTGTCTAGGTAAGCCACAGTTATAAATAAACGCACCATTTACCACCCAAGAAGCAGACTAAGGAAATATGAATTGGCCCAACTACACAGTGAACCAGAAATTGAGGAGCAAAAACTCAGAGCCTGGACAGAGTCATGTGGTGTGAGGGGTCCATGAAGCTCAGACCCTGGGCATTAGGTCTTCAACTTTTATGGGTCTTCCTCCTCTCTCCTTCCCTACCTTTTTCTTCCTTCTTTTCTTCCCCTTTCTGCTACAATGAAAGATACGTTTCTCCTCTTGTCCATGATTAATTTCTTCACTCTGCTCTGGATCCCATCCTTTCTTGTTTTCTCTGCGACATCACTCTGTTCATCCCTCCACCCTGAACCTTTGATCTTCCTCTCATCAGGATCTCCCATCTGAAACCCCCTCCTGACCCCACCTCACTCTTCCTTAATCATCAGCCCTAGCTCTCTTCCCTCACAGCCGACTCTGCATCTCCTCCCTCCCCTACTCCAGCTCACCGAAACTGGGCTTCTTTTCCATCACTCGACCAATGCTCTGGTCTCGGTCACCAGTAACTGGACGTCGCCAGATCGGGTGGGTACAGTTTTGTCCTTATTTTGCTTGATCATTCCAGGCAACTCGAAACTATGGGCCACTCCTTTCTCCTTGAAACACCTTCTTCCCGTGGGTAGAACGACACCAGGTTGTCTTCTTCCCTCTGTCCTGTCTGATCCTGTTTCATTCTCTCTTTTGTGGTCCACCTTACGTGCTCGAGCTCAATGTTTATGCCCCTGCTCTACCCACGCTACGTGTTCTCCCTAGAAATCTTCACCCCACGGCTTCGACTTCCACATGCGTATCCCAGGACTGACTGCCCCCTAAGTTGTGGGGCTCAGCACAAAATGCAAATGTGGGGCCCCTCACTCAAATAGGAAGAATTTCCAGATGGTGATGGCAGGGCATTGAGCCCAGCGCGGGGCCCTTCTGAGTGGTGGCCCTGTGATGGCTCAGGTTGTACACCCATGGAGCCAGCTGCTCCGGCCACAGCGAATCCATGCCCAAACCGAACCACATCCGTGCCTTTGGCCTTGACATTTCTCCTGAGATCCAGAGCTGGGTCTCCTAGCTGGACATCTCAATTTCTACATCAACATTTCCTTTTTTTCTTCTATATTATTATTAGAGAGAGAAGAAAGAAGAGGGAGAGATAGAAACATCGATGAGAGGGAACATCGATTGGCTGCCTCCTGCATGCCCCTCACTGGGGATCAGGCCCACAACCTGGGCATGTGCCCTGACTGGGAATCGAACCGGCGACCTCTTGGTGCATGGGTCAATGCTCAACCACTGAGCCACGCCAGATGGACTCAATGAACATTTCTTCATCTTTCCCCTCCTTTAGATCGAGGGCAACCCTCTTCCCCCAAGTGCTGAAGCCATGAGCCTGACCATCAGACTTGGCCTCTCCCTCTCCCAGGCTCTTTCTAACCCTACCAAGGCCCACCTGGTCTACCTCTCAATGCCTCTCAGCTCCAACCTTTGCCCTCCTGTGGCCACTGTCGTCCAGGCCACCATCACGCTCTCCTGTGCATCTCAGCAGTGACCTGATTGCCCTCATGCTTCCTGTCTCCTTTCCAGCCCAGTCTCCACTTTCTTTAAATCCAAAATGCACTTTCAAAACTGCCAGTCTCATCACCACTCCAAGCCTGGTACTCTTCAAGGGTCTCGTGGCCTTTCCGAGGAAGTCCAAGTTCCCCTGGGGGCCTTGCAAGGTCCTCTGTGATCCACCTGTCCCCCTCCCTGGCCTCCTTTTGCTCTCTCTCATTTTCTTTTTTCTTAAAATATATTTTTTTAATTAATTTTTTTAGAGAGAGAGGAAGGGAGAGAAAGAAACATCGATGTGAGAGAGACAGATTGATCGGCTGCCTCCTGCACGCCCCCTACTGGAGATCAAGCCCACAACCCGGGCATGTGCCCTGACCAGGAATCAAACCGGGACCTCTGAGTCCCTGGGACGACGCTCAATCCACTGAGCCCTCATTTTCTTGTATGTGCTCCGTTCTCTTGGCCTGAGCCGTCCAGCACACTGTTTGCTTTGGCTGGAAAAGCCCCCTCCTCTAGTTTACTGCAACTCAGGCTCAGGTCTCCTTTCAACGGTGCCCCTGGGGGAAGGCGCTGGGACCCAGTGATCTCCCCCGGCGGGACTCTCCCAGCACAGTCCTTCCCTTCTCCAGACACATCCAAGTGTAATGACTTGGTCCTCTCTGTCCCCTCTTGGTACAGAAACTGTTCTAGTCCCATTTTCTGCCGTACCCTTGCGACCTTGTTATGTTCCTGCCACACTGGGTGGTTAGCGGGTATTCAGTGACCGAGTGAAGCACTTACTTGTTGAAGTGTTCCAAGAAAATGAGGCTGGTGGAGGTGCCGATGATGGTGGTCAGGCCCCCAATGGTGGCAGCGTAAGAGATGCTCAGAGACAGGCACTTGCAGATCATCTGGTCGTGGTGGGACTTGTACTTCCTGCTCAGTTCCTGGTTCCTGGGGCTGGGTGGCAGGACTAGTGGCTTCTCCTACCAGAGGAAAATCAGTGGCTCTCTCCAGCCCAGCTGGGCTGTCTGGCACACAGAACATGAAACCAGGGCACCGTGGTGCAGTGGAAAAGGCTTTGAACTTGGGTGTCCGAGAGACCAATGCCGGCGTCAGTTCTACCATGTCCCAACCCGACAGCCCCTCTGAACGACTTTCTTCTGTCACGGGGAAAGTCCTATTTTCTCTGCTAGATTGCTGTGAAGAGTAGATAAGGTAATATATTGAAAGCACTTGGAACATGTCCTGGCACTTAAAGGATGATATACTATTATTCTTTTTGTTTGTTTGTTTTTTTTAGATTTTTTCTAAACTTTTTTTTTTTATCCTCACCCGAGGACATTTTTGCATTTATCTTCAGATAGAGCGGGAGGGAGAGAGGGAGGAAGAGAGAGAAAGAAACATCCATGTGAGAGAGACACATCGACTGGTCGCCACCTACACGACCCCAACCGGGGCCGGGGACGAACTGCAACCGAGGTACATGCCCTTAGCGGGAACCGAACCTGGGACTCTCTGGTCCCTGGGCTGAGCCAAACCGGCCAGGTCAATTATTATTTTTGTTGTTGTTAATGTTACCATTAACAGCATGTCTTGTCTGCTACATTTATGCCAATAAAACTGGTTGCTCTCCACTTAGCGTCTGAGTAACAAATTGAGGATGGTGGATCTGTGTGGTGTTTGAATGGCGGTCCTGGTCGGGAGATGACTGAAAAACAAGCCTGGATTACAGAAGGGACCTAGCTGTCACTGGGCAGGGGGTCGAAGTGGGGACTTTCTCCCCTTCCCCTCTTCACTCACTTCTTCTTGCCTACTGGCTTTTCCTCCCCACCCTCCCCTCCTCCTGGCATATAGGCCTCAGCCTTGCTGTGGTCTCTCAGGTCCTGCTGGGTCCGGATGTTCAGGGTCAGACGTGGTTGACCTCTGGTCGCAAGCGAGAACTTAGGAACCAGGTGCCATCCCCCTCCAGGCCTGGCCACCCCTCAGTAGCCTTCAGAGACCAGGAACAGCCTGGTGCCAATGTCAGGCCAGGTCACAGGACAACCATGGGGAAGAGGCCACCTTGTCACACTCCTCAAAGCCCTCGGTTGCTTTCCCGTCTTCCCAGGAGGGCCCCGGTGGGTCTGGACCTCTCCAGACCTTCCTGAAAGACTCGCTGATGATCAGAGCTGGAGGGGACCGCGTAGCTTCTCTGGTCCAGCGGTTTGCCACGATCTCTTCTCTAATGGAGTTGCACGTGGATCCCCAATGCGCAAAATGTAAATGTAGCATCTCATTGGCGTCCATCGATTCTACACCAGCTTCAGTGTGTATTTTCCTTCTGCCTTTTGTTTCACGGGTACGGTACCAGGGAAACCCTATTCTCACAGAGAAGCAGTTGCCTTAAAATCTCCGGGTGTTCAAGTAAAATATTCGCACTGTCCCTGAAGCTCCTTTGAGGAAGAGTCTGGACACCTTCTGATCTAGCTCAGTCCTCAGCTTTTGTACTGCGAGGAGCTGGGCTCGGACGGCCCTGGGGCGTGCCAGTCAACAGGGAGGTAGATGTGTTATCTGATGGCACACCCAGGCCAGACAGGGACAGGGGTCACTAGCTCGACGCCCTCACAGCTCCAAGACCAGCGGCCCCTTGGGAAGCTCAAGCATTTCATGAGGCAAACAGGGTCAGGGGGTACAGTTCAATTACCTGGGCGGGGTGCTGCTTTTCTTGGTGGTTGGCTCTTTTAACGGCGTTGGTGATTGTGGGAGCACCATTCAGGTTCTGTGGGGACAAAGACCGTCACACTATCAGGAAGGGTTACGGTGGTACAAGGGACGTACCACTGTCCCCCCGGGGCACCCACGCCTCGGCACTGCGGACACTGGAGACCAGGGGCCAGGGACAGCACGAGAACGCCACCCCAGCTGCGCCCGCCTCCGCCCCCGTTTTATCCAGCCTGGTGTCAAGCAGCCCCTTGGAAGGGCTTCTGAAATCAGGCAGAATATGGCTCTGTCCTTACAGGAGAGCTTGGCTTCCTGGAGCTTCACTAGCTAACGAAGAATCCTTCGTTTTCCTTTGGCACAAATTGAAGAAGAACCGCACCGCAACAAAGCCCCAGTTTGGACTGATGGAAGAGGATCTAAAGCAGCTCTGGGGGAGGGCCGAGCAGCAGCGCAGGGCGACCATGCTCCCCATAAAGCGTGTCGCTTACGGAGTACGATGTTTGTAAGGGGGACCCTCCCCGAAAGAAACCCAAGGAGGCACCTGTGGCCGAGTACTGGGTTTCCCTGAAAACGGGCTAACTGTACCGCGTGTGGCCAAGCCCAGCGCTCGGGGCTGGGGCTCAGAGCTAGGCGGGTTCTCACCAGGAGCCCGTGGGGCCCGGGGCGCACCTCCGTTCTCACGTCAGTGGAGGCCACCGGCTCTAGGACAAGCTGTCGGGCGGCTCTGTCCTGAGTTATCTTGAGGGACTTTCAACTATCTCACAGCAGAGAAAAAACAAAGCAAGCCCCAAGCCATACCTTGTTCTGCACCAGGGAGGAGAAGTCTGTAGTCGAGGTGCTGGAACAAAGCGAAGGAAGTGGGGAGATCAACGTGGGCCAGACGTCAGGAGACAGGAATTCTCCCACACCCCCGATCGGTACAGGGACCCCTCTAGACTGTCTCCTGGGCTATGAAGAAGCCTAATCTCACCCTGGTCTTCCTAGCTAGTGACCCCAGCGACAGGCAGCGGGGAGCAGGGGTCAGAGCCCCAGACTCCAGGCAGAGACAGGCTCCTGTCCTGCGCCCCTTAGCTCCCTGGTCTCCCTCACCTTCCAGAGGTGCTGTCAGGAGTGTCGGGGGCGGGGCACCTTCTTAGCTGTGAAACCAACACTCCTAACAGCTGACCTGGAGTGCGGCTTAGGTGCTGAGTACTCAGAGAGCTCTTCAGTCCTAAGGACACTGTTAATCCTCCTCCTGAGTCCTGGCCATTGTTAACCCTCCTTTTGCTGCCTGCATCTGCCCAGCAGGGAGCTAGGCGGAGGGAGGTCCCCAACTCCCTGAGGGCAGCAGGTGCTAAGAGGCGCAGGACAGGAGCCCGGAGAGGCTGGGCCCTGGCCCGTGCTTCCCTGCCTGGCTCTGGGCTCACTCGCGAGAAGGAGAAACCTGTGCAGCGGTGTCTGAGATGACGGGCAGGACGGGCCTGCCCTGCCTGGGTGAAAGGCACAGGGGAGAAGGAAGATGGGGAGGGCGTCGGCTGGCACTGCACGCGCCGAGTCCCTCGCACACCTGTTGGTCCCCAGCCTTTGCCTCGAGCAGAGAGCAAGGTGAGCATGGACTGTCAGCAGCACTGACGTCCGCTCAGTACCAAGTGGGTGTTTCTGGCTCGTCTCGGTTCCGAGAACAGCGGGTGCTGTGACCTCCCCACGGTGAAGACCAATGCGAGGTGCTGAGCCCACGTGCAGGACGTGGGGCCCTGCGGTCGTCCCTCATCTCCAGATTATTTCGGGGGAGGGGAGGAGCCGATGGGGGTTCAGAGGGAAGTGTTCTTTGGAGAGAGTTGCCAGGCTGCTAGGAGGGTGGTGTGGCTTCCTCTCCTTCCTTCCCAAGACGGGAGGGGAGGGCAGGCCCAAGAGAAGCATCCTCATGCCAGAAAGTTCCAGGGACAAGTAGAGCTTTTGCTTTGGGGTTTGGGGGCACATAATTTTGTCTGGAAAAGAACAAAGGCAAGAGGCCAGTAGGTGCCGCCTGAGAGGCCAGAGTGAGGAGGACGACCCAACCAGTGTTTCAGTCTCAGCAGAGTCCGGTCAGCGTGGAAGGTAGCTGGGCAGGAGCCCCCAGAACGAACGGGCTGTGGGGAGTGAGTGAGCAGAACATAGAACCAAGGGGAGCATGAGTGCGCCTCCGAGGGCCTCACCACCATCAGGCCTAGGGCTGTGCAGAGGTATCCCGGGGGCTATACAGAGGTATCCCGGGGGCTATACAGAGGTAACCCCGGGGCGGTGCAGAGGTATCCCCGGGGCTGTGCAGAGGTATCCCCGGGGCTGTGCAGAGGTAACCCCGGGGCTGTGCAGAGGTAACCCCAGGGCTGTGCAGAGGTAACCCCGGGGCTGTGCAGAGGTAACCCCGGGGCTGTGCAGAGGTAACCCCGGGGGCTGTGCAGAGGGAACCCGGGGGCTGTGCAGAGGGAACCCGGGGGCTGTGCAGAGGGAACCCGGGGGCTGTGCAGAGGGAACCCCGGGGCTGTGCAGAGGGAACCCCGGGGCTGTGCAGAGGTATCCCCGGGGCTGTGCAGAGGTAACCCCAGGGGCTGTGCAGAGGGAACCTGGGGCTGTGCAGAGGTAGCCGGGGGCTGTGCAGAGGGAACCCCGGGGCTGTGCAGAGGTATCCCCAGGGCTGTGCAGGGGTATCCCCGGGGCTGTGCAGAGGTAACCCCGGGGCTGTGCAGAGGTATCCCCGGGGCTGTGCAGAGGTAACCCTGGGGGCTGTGCAGAGGTAACCCCGGGGCTGTGCAGAGGTAACTCCGGGGCTGTGCAGAGGTAACCCCGGGGCTGTGCAGAGGTAACCTGGGGGCTGTGCAGAGGTAACCCTGGGGCTGTGCAGAGGTAACCCTGGGGGCTGTGCAGAGGGAACCCTGGGGCTGTGCAGAGGGAACCCTGGGGGCTGTGCAGAGGTAACCCTGGGGGCTGTGCAGAGGTAACCCTGGGGCTGTGTAGAGGTAACCCTGGGGGCTGTGTAGAGGTAACCCTGGGGGCTGTGCAGAGGTAACCCTGGGGGCTGTGCAGAGGTAACCCTGGGGCTGTGCAGAGGTAACCCTGGGGGCTGTGCAGAGGTAACCCTGGGGCTGTGCAGAGGTAACCCTGGGGGCTGTGCAGAGGTAACCCTGGGGCTGTGCAGAGGTAACCCTGGGGGCTGTGCAGAGGTAGCCCGGGGGCTGTGCAGAGGTAACCCTGGGGGCTGTGCAGAGGTAACCCCGGGGGCTGTGCAGAGGTAACCCCGGGGGCTGTGCAGAGGGAACCCCGGGGGCTGTGCAGAGGGAACCCCGGGGGCTGTGCAGAGGGAACCTGGGGCTGTGCAGAGGTATCCCCGGGGCTGTGCAGAGGTAACCCGGGGGCTGTGCAGAGGTAACCCCGGGGCTGTGCAGAGGTAACCCCGGGGCTGTGCAGAGGTAACCCGGGGGCTGTGCAGAGGTAACCCCGGGGCTGTGCAGAGGTAACCCCGGGGCTGTGCAGAGGTATCCCCGGGGGCTGTGCAGAGGTAACCCTGGGGGCTGTGCAGAGGTAACCCTGGGGGCTGTGCAGAGGTATCCCCGGGGCTGTGCAGAGGTAACCCTGGGGGCTGTGCAGAGGTAACCCCGGGGCTGTGCAGAGGTATCCCCGGGGGCTGTGCAGAGGTAACCCTGGGGGCTGTGCAGAGGTAACCCTGGGGGCTGTGTAGAGGTAACCCTGGGGGCTGTGCAGAGGTAACCCTGGGGCTGTGCAGAGGTAACCCTGGGGGCTGTGCAGAGGTAGCCCGGGGGTTGTGCAGAGGTAGCCCGGGGGCTGTGCAGAGGTAACCCTGGGGGCTGTGCAGAGGTAACCCTGGGGCTGTGCAGAGGCAGCCCTAGGGGATGCTCTTACAACACTTCTTTCCCCTTTTTTTCCCTGTGCCCTGGAGAAGTTAGAGCAGCAGAATGAGTTGGGGAGTAGAGGGAAGAGGGCGGTGCAGGAAGAGAGAAGTCAGCTCTCTCTCCTACTCGCTTTTACCTCTTATTCTGCAGACCTGGGCTGAAGGGGGTGGGTGTGAGCATAGAGGAGTTGGGGAGCTCTGGATGACAGGTGGACGTTTTCAGATGCGGCTGGACTAGCCTGCTGAACTTCTGAAAAGGAAGTCGTTCTAATATCTGAGGGGCAGGAAGAGCTACGGGATTTGCCTGCGATCTCGTCTAGGCTTGGGTGGGGGACCCGATATGCTCTGAAGGGGAGTCTACCCCATTCCACATGCTGGTCTCACGCAATGTGAGTTCTCCATTTTTTACAAAAAGAGCAAATTGCAAACCTGAGCTCTAGTACAGATCCAACTTTTCAAGTGTGATATTCATCACCGAATACTTGGAAGACGATGTTTTGACGTCAAATCTCCAGAAGACATCAGCTGTTAGTGGCTCTACCACGCATGAGTGCTTGAGACTGTTTCCACTTGTCTGATTCCTCTTTTCCATTCCGAAAATCTCTCACCACTGTCCTCTAATCCCCTACCCGCCACTTAGTTTCCTTCGCCATGTCCGGCGAGACTAAATCTAGTACGGCCACATCTATGAGATTCTGTGATTTCTCTAAGCATCTCCAGTGACATCTATTGTGTGAGTGTTTTTCCATTAATAGATTAAACATATTATTCTCGTAAGAGGATGTCAATTTAGAGACATTCAGCCTGGTAGATATATAGACCATCGATATACCCCTCGGATTTGGTGTGGTTTTTCATCTCTTCCCTCGTCACTGCAGAACCCTGTGGTTAGAGGAGTTGCCTTCAGGATCTGGGCAAGGGGCTCCCAGGTATGGAGAGGGATCAGGGCAGGGGAGGTGGGGGCGTGGCAAGATGTGAGCATGGCCCGGACATCTGGGAGAGCTGTTCACAGCTCAGGCCCCTGACCTCGGAGTGGACTTGGAGAGGCTCTGCTGGCGGGGAGGGCAGTCATACTCACTCTTCATTGACAAAGATGAGTTCCAGAGAAGGCTGGCTATTGTTTGCATCAAGACCTACAGTAGCAAAGGAAAGCAGGAAGTAAGACCGGAGGCTGGACCTGTCCCTACAGGGCAGGGCTGGCTCAGGGCTGAGGGGAGTAGGGCAGAAGGGCTTCTGCTGGGACGTGGTGTTGCGGGCTCATGGCTCGTCCTGGTCCCTGAGCCTTTGGGGGAAAGGAACAGTGGTGGCTGCTGTCAGTGGGGGAAGAAGGAAGATCTGGCCACGGGAGGGGGTCTCAGGGAAGCTTCAGGCTGCAAGGGCTGGTACGGGATGCTGGGAGGGAAGGGAAGCAGCAGATGAGGACACCGGGCTGGGCCATGTGACAGGAGGGCAGAGGGGCAAAGGGCAGGTGAACTGTAGCCAACTGTACTGGCGGGCGCGGCCTCCTCGGGGTTGGTGCTGCTGGCCACCAGCTGCTCCTCCTCGGCACTGACCAGCTCCTGCAGCACGGCCTCCACGATGGGCATCACCATGGCGGTGGTGGACGTGTTGGAGAGCCACATGGAGAGCAGGGTGGTACAGCTCATGAAGCAGAGCAGCAGCCTGGAAGGCAGGGAGGGCCGGGCAGTGTCCACAGCAGGGCCATCGCCCAGGGCCCACTGCCCATCTCACAGGGCCCCTGGGGGGCCTCTGACACCCCCGACGGTGCTGGCCTCGAGAACGGTGGCTGGTGTTCGTCCAGAAAATCGGGTTTTTGTGTCTTACATTTGGCTTTGTACTGCCAGGGCTTAGCACAGAGTAAACAGTAAACAAACATTTGTTGAATGAATGAGAATCACGCTTCACGGGCTAGCAGCCTTCGCCAGAAAAAGCCAGCCCTTATGTAAGCAAAGATGAGCTTTGGTAGTGGGGTCAGAGGCATGGACTTACTGATTGCACGTCTCTAAGCTTGGGGGTGACGTATGCTTTTATGTGCAGAAAGAAGTTCTATTTTTGCCCTTGCCACCAGCAATTCTGTGAGGACCATGACATTCCTTTCTTTGCAGCCAAGTCACCATAGTTATTAGTGACCAAAACATGGAGCTCACAGTCCGCCCACTCCTGTCCCACTGTCAACCGGCTGAAGTCACAGACGTGTCCATTGTCACTGTGTGCACTTTCCCAACTCATATCTTAAAGAGTCAACTCTTGGAGGAAAACACTCTCCAGTGATCTCTCTCTGACTCTGAAGACATGCAGGGCGTGTCTGCAGACACGGTCTCATCTCCGTAAGATAAGCCAACATGCAGAGCGTGTTGGTTACTGTGGGTGGGACCACGGACCACAGCTAGGGACTCCACAGCTCTCCGTGCTCGTGTCTGGTGGGGCAGGGTCCTGACGGGGTTCGTGTCTAGGCGGCCAGCGGCAGGAGTGCAGGCCCCGAGAGCGCACAGGGAGTGGAAACTTGCTGGGGACTGAGGTAGAGACAAGTGGGAACTCAGCGGGGTATACACTCCTGAAGGTAGTGCACAAAGATTTAAAGGGCCTCAGCATCCCAGGATGATGGGAGGACATGCTCTGTGCTCCGGGAGGCTGTGTGTGACTGTTCCCAGCGAGCGGAGTCATGCTGAACTCAGGGGCAGTTAAGTGGAAGGCAGGAAGATCCTTTTAAGCAAAACCTGCATTCACCTAGTGACTGATGTTGAAAACGAATCCCATATTATTTGTTTAGATTCCAAAGGGGTTGTCTGACTCCCCAAGGAGTTAGGGCAGTTTACATAAAATGTAGTAAGAAAGCTGTACCCTAGAAGGAGGGGCAGGGTTACCCTGGGGGCGGGGGTGAGGTTAACCCCAGACTGTCAATCCTGACTTCCCTGCATGTCCCCAAGGCTGCGACTCTCTCCGTCTTCCCGAAGCAGAGTGAGAAGAGGAAGATGCCAAGGGCACGCAGTGCATGGCAGACGCCGGGGCAGGTGCGACATGGCAACATGTCTGTGGTCTGGTCAATGACAACAACAACAAGACAACCCAGGGCCGGTGGGAGGAGACCGCCACGTCTCCTTCAACGACAAAGGAGAAGCCATCACTTCCTGCCCGGCCTGTTTCCTGATGTACCAGAAAAAGGTTGGGACACAATTTATGTTGGTCCATCTCGTTCCAACTAATGAGCCCCTTCCTATTTTGTAACCCGCTGCCCTAGCAGTCTGGGCTGCGCACGTAAGTGATTTGGGCTGTGACAGTAAGTGACACCAGGGTCACACGCTCACACCTCTAGTCCATGATTACAGGCCCTGTCGTCGGGGGTGGGGTGGGAGCCCCGGGGCCCTGCTGTGTCATTCCACCCCCACTGCTGGACATTCCCCGTGCCAGCCACTTACATGCCCGGCTTCGCCCCGGCCATCATGACCATGCGCAGAGCGATGCGCTTGTGCAGGTTCCACTTCTCCACGGCCGCCGCCACGCAGATGACGCCCACCAGCAGCAGCGTGGTGTTCTTGAAGTACTCCGCCGCCACCTGCAGGGGGCGAGCGCGGTCACCCCACCGCCCAGGCCCGCCGCCCTGCACCGGCCAGCCACAAACGCATTCTCAGCCAGAGACTGGCAAACAAGGAGCAGGGAGTTGAGGGTTATTAAATAGCCAACTGTTACATGTTAAATTAAAAAATATGTATATATATATATATAGACATACATACATACTACCTTGGGCAGGCACTCTACTAAGAACTATACAAAGACTATTTCATGTAATCCTGCCAATAACCCCATGAGGCCGATATTCTTCTTCACTTTCTTAAAGATACAAAAACACTATGACTATGATTTCAAAGAATAACCACACTTATAATTTTATCTTAATCCTTAAAAATTATTTCAATAATCCTGGGTTTGTCCCCAAGCCCCATTTTTCTTTAGCTTTTCAAAAAGTTATGTTTAGTTTTGTTAGAAAGGCAGTACATGCTCATTATGGAAAACTGCAAAATATAGAAATTTAAAGATAAAATGACCCTGAATCCTACTACTGTTAATGCTTTGGTCTATGTTCTTCAATTTTTTAAAATGTCTATATTGACACATAATTGAATTTGTACAATGTGACAGTTGTACATCCTGTTCTTCTTTTCATTTTATATCATACCCTGGTCGTTTTCTTATGAGGGTTAAATTTACTGGAAAAATTTATGTGACTGGCAGCATAATGTACCATAAGAGTTATTTGGTCATTTTCTTTATGTTGAATATTTAGATATTTCCCCCCCTACTACAAAGGCTTAAATCATTAAACTTACATAAATGTATTTTTCTTAGGACAAAGTTCTTTTTAAAAAAAATATGTTTTTATTGATTTTAGAGAGAGAGGAAGAGAGAGAGAGATAGAAATATTTATGAGCGAGAAACATCGAATGGCTGCCGCCTGCACGTCCCATACTGGGGATGGAGCCAGTGACCCGGGCATGTGCCCTGACTTGGAATCAAATAGGGACCTCTCAGTCCATGGGATGACACTCGATCCACTGGGCTACACCGGCTGGGCAAGAGTTCTTTTTTAAAAAAAAAAAAAAAAAAAAAAAATTCTCCCCTGAGGATATGGTTGTTTTTTTTTTTTTGTTTTTTTTGTTTTTTAAATTGATTTTTAGGGCGGGGGAGAGAGAGAAAAACATCAATGTGAGAAAGAAACATTGATCAGTTGCCCTTATGTGTCCTGACCGGGGATCGAATCCGCAGCCTTTCTGGTGTACAGGATGATGCTTCAACCCACTGAGCCACCTGGCCAGGGAGAGAGTTCTTAAGGTGTTTTACAAATAGCCTTAAACCTTAAAAAACATTTTTTCCCATTTAAATAACTCTAATCCAAATTTCCAAGAGTCCCCAAATGATAATAGTACAAGGAATACCTGCACCCTATCTACATAGTTGGTGTTTTTTTCCTGAACCATTTGAGGATAAATTACATACCCTCTGGCCCTTTATCTCTAAATACTGCAGTGTATATTTCCTAAGAATAGGGATTTCTGTCTTATACAACCACAGTAACAGTTATCAACTCTTTCCCACTTTTCAGTAAGGAGGAAATTAAGATCAAGGTCTGTTGAAAAGATGTTTCAAGTGTTTGGAGTCCGTGGACCAAGTCTTCGTTGATTCCCTCCCTCACTTGGAACACCCCCTTCTCATCTCTGCTTGTCCTTACTGATCAGCCTTCAAAGCCCAGTTCCAGAAAACTTTCCTTGTGACTCTGGCCTCTCTGACTCCAGAACATTCCTGGTGAGCACCATTAATTCCACACATCACAGAGCCCTTAAGGCAACGCTCGAACTGTTGCTTCATGCTGTTGTTTTTTCATGTGAACCTCTCTCGTCTCTCAAACAAATTTTAGTCTTTCTGTATCTCTTAACACCTGGTAGAATAACAAGCAGAAGTAGATGCTCAATAAATACTTGTCACACACAAGTATTTGAGAATTGTTCCCAATAATGGAACCATGACAGAGACAGAGAGGAAAAGATACACAAGAAAGTTTAACTTCTAATTATGAACCCTCTTACAGAGAGAACACAAGAACATTTTTAACTGTAGGGAAAATAAAACTTGAACAGAAAAGGAAATGCATAGTGAAATTATATCGTGTTTGAAGTAAACGATATTTACATAATCACACTGTTGAACACTATTATTGAAGTAACAAAGACCATGTCCGGAGGATGGAGGAAGGGGTTCTGGGGATGTAAGAGATCAAAAGCCTCATCTGCTATCATAGGGAGTCAACTGATAATGTCTAAAAGTGATAACTCAAGACTGAAAATATAGGAGCTTAGTACCAGAAGAAGCAGGTAACAATTTTAAAAGTTATTGCCCTGGCCGGTTTGGCTCAGCGGTTAGAGCGTCTGCCTGCGGTCCGGAGAGACCCGGGTTAGGTTCCTGCTAAGGGCATGTACCTCGGTTGCAGTTTGTCCCCGGCCCTGGTTGGTCGTGTGGGTGGCAGCCACTCGATGTGTCCCTTTCACATCGATGTTTCCCTCTCTCTCCCTTCCTCTCTCTCCCTCCCACTCTATCTGAACAAAATATTGAAAAAATGTCCTCGAGTGAGGATTTAAAAAAAAAAAGTTATTGAACTTGGTGGGGTACGGTGGGGAGGCGTGGGGAAGGAAACTGCTGGGTTTTCATTGTGAACTTTTCAGGATCATTTGAACTTTAATAACATAAAAGTCATAATAGAGGCAACCAGCTTCCGTTCCCCCTTCTCCCTCCTGTCCGTCCTATCATTGTCTGGTTGATGAGTTTTGTGTAGAGAAGGGACCTCTGCCCTCTCTGTGACCACTTCCTGGAGGAAGAGCCCTCTGCTTCTGGTTAATCTAGGTCTGGTCCTCAATCCCAGTCTTCACTAACACTGTCACTGTGCTCCCAGAGCCAGAGAAGGCCCCCTGCTCTGCTGGGCTTGTGACTCTAGCTATAAGGGTGGGAAAGCCACGGGCCCGGCCGTGGGTGCAGGTGCTGCCCCCTAGCGGGACATGGAAGCACGCAGGGATGCCTGAGGGCAACGGCTGACCAGCCTAGGACCTTTCTCACTGCATCCGGACCTTCCCAGGGTATCTAGGGGGTAACTTTGTGGTGGAATCAGTGTTTTAATTTCCTCTGTGTACCAAGGAGGGAAGTCCTGGAACTGGCCCTAAATACCTGGGCCCAGGACCAGCGCTAGCAGGGTGCTGGCTGGCTCTGTGCTGTTTTCTGATTTTGTTTGCTGGGCTCAGGTCTGCTCACATGCCCTCTCCACCCCCTTGTAGGTGATGCCAGGCGCTTGGGCGATGAGCCTGGGTGTAGTTTGGGAGTAGTCACATCGTAAAGAGTAGGGTCTCTGCAGTCAGCCAGGACTTGGCTGTGTGACCCTGGACAAGTTACTCAACCTCTCTGGGCTTCACTTTTTTCATCTGAAAATAAACAAGGATTATGTGACACGCGCAAACCAGCCAGCGTGGCCACCGTGTAGACAACCAGGGTTCCTGGCAGTGCTTCCTGCTACTAAGTGGGCCACCAAGACTGGCCTGGTCTGAGGCCGTCAGCACACAGAGGGGGCCCAGGTACAAGGCTGCCTTTTCGCTTTTATAAATTAAAATCCTGCCCAGTGGTGGCATTTGTCAGCTGTCCAGGCCATTGAATTGCTTTTACAATCTAACCTTGGCTATTCAGACCCCCTCAGGGAACATCGAGGTTCCAGGATTCTTGAGGATTACCTTAATCATGTTCTAAAATGTGTGTCGTAACTCACGTTTGCATGGAGCATTCTTTCCCCCCAGTATCTAATATCCAAGATTAATATTCTGTGAGTTGGGACACTCGATGATGAAGCTTCTTAGAATTATTTGCACAGAGAAAAGAGATTTTGAAACGAGTGCTCCTCCCATGAGTCGATTGCATGGGTTTGTGACATTTGCGTTGGTGGTTGCGTTGCCTTTTCTGCTCCGTGGTGTCTCTCAGTGCGCCAAGTCACTGGGTTTGGAGAGCAGAGGTATTTCTGCTCTGTGCTTTGGGTTCAAGGAAGCTGTTTTGAAAAGGTGGAGCAGGGAACAGCACTTAAGAGCTTGGGTTCTGGACTTCAGGCTGGCTCGGTGTAAGTGGTTGCTTGATTGGCTAGACACGTACGCTGTTGGGCAAACTGCTGAACCCTGGGACTCGTCACCCCAACCTTTGCAGTGGTGACTAATGACATGTGGCTCATTTAATCCGTCATCACGGCCTTCAGAAAGATCACGCAGGCGGGCTCTGGGAATAGCGCCTGGCATGCAGAGAGTGCTCAATAAATGTTCATTATGATCATTAAAGAAGTAAGAAAAGACAAAAAGCTTCAAGATGAGATTGAGGGTTAGGAAGCAGGTATGCCAGCATGATCAAAGGAAGGGAAACAAGGAGCCAGGTGGACCTAAAAGATGAAGGTCCCTCCACATTGTCTTAAGTGAAGGGCAAGTGCTCGGCCAGTGCTCTGTGACCCAGCCCGGGTGGAAGGCACAGACAGAAACACGGGTGCACGTGGTCCGTGAACTAGCCAGTTCATGGTGAGTGGATTGCAGGTGACATCTGTTAGTGATGGGCTTTTCAAAACGTCACTTTCACCTGGCCGCTGTGGCTCAGTGGATTGAGCGTAGTCCCACAATTGAGAGGTCCTGGTTCGATTCCCAGTCAGGACATGTGCCCGGGTTGCCAGTAGGGGGCGTGCGGGAGGCAGCCGATGGATGATTTTCTCTCTCTCTCTCTCTCAAAAAAAAATCAATAAAAACATATAAAAAAAACCCCAACAAACAAAAAAACAAAAACATTACTTTCTTTGGACACAATTATATATTGCTCTCCAGATGGGCTTTCAATTTTTTTTAAAAAAAGTTTTTTAAAAAGAGGAGGAGGAGTTACGGGCATTCCTAGAAGTTCGAGGAGAAGGGCCACCTGGCCGCTAACCCTCGATTCACACTGGGAATCCGCACAACTCCTCGAGAGGTAGGAACGCCGGTTACTCGTGGCGTTCAGACGAGCACGTGGCAGTTTGGAGGGGTTACACACTGGCTCAGGGCTAGTGACAAGGCGGCGTCCCACTCAGCCCCGCCCTGCGCCCAGCATGCATCCCGGCCCTTCCCAGGCTGTTCTCCTTGCTCTTGGGGTGGCAGACTGGGCCCAGCAGATCTGGTGGCATTGGGTGGGTCCCCTGGGAAACGCAGCCATCGGCGCCCTGCTGCTGGCCTCACAGACCCCATCAGTGGCCTCTGCAAGTGGCAGACATGTCACGACCCTCAGGAGACCAGCAGTGGCCTCTGGAAATGGGCCTGTTTTGAGGCTTTTTTGGTTCATCGGAACCATTTTGCAGTGAGATCCTGTAAACCCCAGGAGGGGATGCCTGGACAAGTCCCCACCAGAGCGGGGCCCCGCCACACCACTCCAGCCGGTTCCCCGGCGGTTCCCCCGCGTGCCGCCCAGTCCAGCGTGTCTGGCTCTCGGCTTTCCCGGGGGCAGGAATGCTGTTTCTGCTGGGTACACGTATGTGGGCCCCTCCTAACCACCGAGGTCACCCGATTTGAGGACACAGGCTTTCAAATCACACTCACTGCCTATGGGAAGGGCCCTAGCAGCCTGGGCTCTGGACCCCCAGCCCCAGTTTTAGTAGGACTTCCTCTTCCATCCATGGTATGTGTTGGGTCTCCTAAGATTTGGATTAAAGGTCTTGTTGTTCAAAATACATGTTTTGCAAACCGTACCCTAGAGAAGTCTCAAGCAGAGAGCCCAGATGGGTGCTGACCCGGCCCAGAACTTGGCCCACCTCCTGCACAGCTGGACACACTGACATGAAGAGCTCCCACTTCTTTGGGGGCCGTCTCAGCTGCCCCAGTGGAGGAAGCCGGGCTGGGCTCTGACCCAGAGGCAAAGGTTGGGGCTCATGCTTAGGGAGTAACATTGGCTTGGCCTCCAAAGGCTGCGGGATCTAGAGCTTCCTGGTTCCAGTCCCCACGCAAGGCCTGGGTGTGGAGCTCAGCTCTGGGCTGTGTCTGGGTGGCTGTGGGTGACGGGCAGCCTGGATTTAGGCAGGTGGCCCGGTCCAGATGCTCGGCCTGCATCCGCACAGGCCTACAGGCAGGGGTCAGCCTCCATGGTGAGTAGAGGCCAGAGGCAGAGTGGAGGTTGGTAGAGCAAATACTCCAGGTTTAAATGAACAGAGAAAGCTGGAGTGTAGGCATTGGGCAGGAATCCGACGGGTCAGCAAGATCAGGAACAAGTAGGGAAGCAGCTTGACCAGACTCTTGCATCCCTTGGCTGCTATGGCTGTTTGGTTGTCCCCGCCGGAGCTGCCTCTCTGCCTCTCTGGACCTGGACGGAGCTGGAATCTGGACAAGACTTGCTGGGGGCCTTCAGTGAAGAGCCACTGAGGCAGCAGAGAGAGAGAGTGTGTGTATGTGTGTGCGCATGCGTGTGCGAGCGAACATGCCCTCAGGACGGGTAGAGACAGAGAGCAGAGGTAACCACTCCCAGTGGTAACTCCTGACCCTGGGCATCCTGGCAACTATTCCGAGCCCCAGCATCCAAACCAGGCTGTCTACTCCCCCAGAGAGCCCTCTTGTCCTCGACACCATTCTCCTACAAACAGTACGTCTTTGCTAGCTTGACAGACACAGGTACTGCCCCATTAGAAGGGCTTAGAGAACTTTAGAAGCAGATATAATGACAGTAGTGAAAGTCACAGTGGAAACAAAACTGAAATCTAAAAACAAATCTGAAATACAGGTCCGAGCTCTGCATACCAGCAGAGGGGAGTACTGGCTGGATGCACACAAGAGGATCACAGAATCCTCACGTCAAAGGGCCCTTAGCATCCATCCCTCGCCCAAGGCACAAAGCCTCCCTCTAGCTTCCCTGACAGGTCACAGGCTTGTACCTCCAGGGACGGCGACACCAGGGGTACACGTGAGTGCCCTTCAGGCTCCCTCCCACACGGCGGGTTCTCCCTTACGGTGCTTTGAGTCTTTGGTTCTGATGTGACCTGTGAGCCTGGGGAGTTGAACTATAGAAGCCAGAAATCATGCCCCTCCCATGTTTTCTCTATTCCTCACGAGACTCCGTTCTAGATTTTTGGTCTCTTGGCTGCCTACCTCTGAATGAACTCCTATCCAGAACCTGATGCTCTGGACACATATGTTTATCAACTCAGCAGAACTGAGCACATTTTGGCCGGGGGTGAAGAGCACAAGTTCTGAGCTCATACAAGCTTCACTACTTCCTCGCTGTGTAGCCGCCAGTAAGTTACTTAACCTCTCTGAACTTCAGTTTCCTTCTCAGTAAAGCGAAGGTAAAAATAACAGCTACTTTGTAGAGGATTAAATGATAGAATGTATGTAAAGGACCCCCGATAGTGCCTGGCATATGGGAAATGCCAGAGATTTTTGGCAGCCAGATCGGACTGATAAATGACTCAATCTGAGTTTGTACTCAACAAAGAGCCAAGAGACTTTTTCACACAAACTGCTAACATTTATCCTTATTAAGCTTCATTTTGTTAGATTTAGTCCACTGTCTCATGCTGTCAAGATTGATTCCGTCCCCATGCAGCAGCTAGCCCATCCATCTGAGTCATCTGCAAATCTAATAACATGCCTTTTATATTTTCACTAAGCTCTCTCTCTAGTGCGATGCCAACATGTCACTCAAGACTCTTTAGGTTCAGCTGGTCAACCAGCATTCACATTACTCGACTGCGCTAGCATCCAGCCCACATCGGCTCCTGTGAGTGAGAATTTTTTTCCCTGGAAACTGCGAAGGTTCCAAAGAAAAAGTTAATTTATGTTCAACAACTTCTGTTTAAAAGACCAACTTCTGTTTAAAAGTTAATTTATGTTCAGCAACTTCTGTTTAGGAAATTATAAAGCCCTTTAGAAAGACTTCAATTAAAAAATGGTCAACATCAAGTCTGGGCACTTGACAGGGTAAATTTCATTTCTCTCCAGCATTCCTTCGCGGGGGATGATGGGAACCCTCTGTGGTGCCAGAAAACGAGGCGTTATTGCATCGGGGCTCCCGTGTTTTCCCACGTGGTTTATACTTCCTCTCTGCCGGAACAGAAAGTTGTCCAGGTCAGGACCATTTCTGTCATTTCAGATCTTTTTCCAGCACCCGCGTTCCACAGAGAGAAGGCAGCCTAAGCTTTGCACACAACCAGCTCTGAACACCTGCTGACCATCAGGTCACCATAGAAACAAACCACTTCCAGGAGCACATCGGGCGAGTGGGAAGCTCAGAAGCATCAGCTGTGAGAGTTCAAAGGGCAGAGATGATGGTTTCATTTCTGACACCCTCGGGGTACCTGTAGCATCCGATATTGCACACAGGAGATACAAAACTCAGGAAGTACTTTTCCGAGTGGCACGTGACTAACGTGAGGGCCAAAGCCACAGTGGCAGAGTCACACTGACCCTATTTTCCACACGCCCGCCTTCCTATGAAGAGGACACCAATGAAACACCAAGAAGCACTACACTGGAGAAGCATTAACTGAGGGTCCACAGGCCAGAGACATCCTCTATCCCAGAGGGCGGGAACCTTGGTGGAGAGAGGACATGGCTGCGGAAAGTTGTCATCTGGGCTAGCTCATGTACCATTTAAAGGCTAACGACACCAGCTAGGCTGCCAGGGAAGAAAACACTTTCAGCCGAGGTCTTTGGAAAGGCTTCCCTAAAGAGGGAAACTGGGGAGGATTTTAAAGGTTGAAGGAAACTTTTCAAGGCGGAAGAATGGCCCGAGTCATGGCAAGGCGCTGGGCAAGCACAGGTGGGTCTGGGGAGTAACAGGTAGATGGTTCGTCTGGAATAGGGGCTCCCGCTGAGGCCAGGCTAGCCTATCCTGGGGAGCCGTATCCCGGGGAGCCGTGGCACACGCTGGCAAAAGGGGTGGCCTGTGGCTCAAAGTTAACTGGCTCACAAAGAGCTACAGCCCGTGTCCTCTCTCTTATTGGTATTTTCTTCTAGAGTTTGAAATCCAATTAAACAGACTGTATTTGCCCTACGCGGCTCCCTGTAGCCCGTTGCTCTATGTCGCCACCAGCCACAGCCACTTCATCAGACAGACTGTGTACGATTTGTCACCTCGAATAATGAAACTTGCCCTCCGGCTCCCCCGATGTTGCCCATCTCCTGCCCCGGCAATAACAGCGCCTAACCCTTCACCCACAGTCTGTCTTTCCTCTCGCAATGTCAGGTCCCCCAGACTACCGTCAGGTCCCCGACAGGGGCAGCTGGAGGGGGAGGGAGTCGACCGGGCAGCACGTGCCAAGGCCGGGCGCTCAAGGCGTGTTCCTGGGGGTGAAGAAGCCTCCTCCTCAAGTGCCTAGTGCATCTCCCTTCACCTTGAACCCTCTCCCACGGGCCTGGCATTGCCCCGAGCAGGGGGCTGGGCTGCAAGGGGTCTAACCTCGCTGGATCGGAGGACTCCGAAGAACGGGTAGAGGAAGGCGGGCACCAGGGCGGCGGCTCCGAGGGGCACGGCCTCGGACACCCAGTACACAGCGGTCACGATCAGCACGTAAGCACACGCGGCCTCCTGGAAGGGAAGGAGAGTGGGCGGTTAGTCACAGGGGCAGCCACTGGCACTGAGCATCCAGACGAGACCAGGGCAGTGGCAGCGGGCACTCAGATTCAGACGGGGCAGGTGCAAGGCTGGCCCTGGCAGGGGAGTGTGGTGGAAACGTGGGGGACCCCCACATTGGTGTGTGAAGTAATGGCTGCTCCTTGGCTGCACAGACGCCTAGCATGCGGTTTGCATTGGCCGGCAGCAGGGTGGCCACCAGACTCTTCTGCTGGTTCCCGAAACTGCAGGGTAGGGACCAAGACCAACTGCAGTGTTCAAAGCCAAGGTCACGTACCCCAAAGGTGGAGTCCCAGCTTTATCTTGGATGGGGCTGAGGATTTTGGTGTCGAGGTGATCGGACACTACAGGTTCTTGGGATAGTTGAAGGTAGGGATCAATCTGTGTGATCGGTTCACATGTAGCCTCTGAAGCTGACCCATTTGGGGCTGGCTGATTCCTTACTGTGGGTGGCTGGCTCCTTGGCCTGTGTCCACTACATATCAGTAACACCTCTCCAATTGTTACCACCAAAAAATGTCTCTAGACATTGCCAAATGTCCCTAGTGGGTGTGAGGGGCGTCGAACCTGGTCAAAATCCAGTGCCCTAAACAATGCCTGGTTCTCATTGCTCTGGGGCTCCATCCCCCTGCTGAAGGCACCGGGAAGCATTCTTTTGACCAAGGAAATAGAGGACTAAGACCCCGAACTGAACGGAGCCCTGGGAATTTACCAGCGTTTTCCCAGCCCACTCACTTTGCTCATTGCACAACCTCTGAGTGCCAAGAATAAATTAACAAAATTTTTTTTTCCTATATTGATTTTTGAGAGAAAGGAAGGGAAAGGGAGAGAGAGATAGAAACATCGATGAGAGAGAACATCGATTGGCCGCCTCCTGCATGCCCCCCACTGGGGATCGGGCCCACAACCTGGGCATGTGCCCTGACTGGGAATCGAACCAGCGACCTCTGGGTGCATGGGTCGACACTCAGCCACTGAGCCACACCAGCCGGGCGCAAAGAATAAATTAATACAACATGCTTATAAAAAGTTAGCCGTCCTTCCCCTTGGCCTCCAGTAATGCCGCCTGAAATGGCACTAATCAATGGTCACCGGCCAAGGGCCCTAACAGTGGACTCCGAGCGCTGCTGTGTAAAGGACCCAAGCTGGCTGTGGGTTCCTCAAATTACACAGAGCTCTGAACCATCTGGGCTCAGGCCCACCTGCCCTGAGGCTGGCTGGCGATGAAGGAACCCGACCAGTCTTGTTCTGTTTACCTCTCCCTTGGGTTCAGAACAAGCGTTCACACTCTTGCATCAAAGTCACAAAAGGTCGCGTGATCAGTGAGGGTCCCCGGGAGTGATTAACCCAGCTCGGCTGGATGGGCCCTTGCTCCCTCCTGACATGCAAGGATTATGGGGTTGGGCTCAGGAAATGGGCACTGACCAGACACTTGTTGACTGTAGCCCCTACTGAGAAGTCCCTCTGGGGCCAAAAGATCACAGAGCAGTTAACATTTTTTGGAAGCGCTGATAAGACAACAGAATCAATAGTGGAAAAATAAAAAGGCTCCATTTGGAAAAGAACGCAGCTTAGAGAAATACCCGCTTTGTGGCAGATCTAAAACTGTTCCAAGGAGTTCAAAGCCCTAAGGCCACTGACTCTCATTCTTTCCCTGGGAAGGGGACAGATGGGCAGCTCCTAATTCCAGCTGAAGATAAGGGGGACAGGGAGTCTGTCCATTCCTGAGAAGGGCTTAGTCCTTCCTGAGAACTTTCTTGTCCTGGTCACGACAGGGCGACAAGTTAAAGGAGGGGAGAAGGGGAGACAGACAGATTGAAAATGAGAGAGAAACTGTCCTTGGAGCAGGTACCACTTGGCTTTGAATTAGGAGGATTCAGGTAAGCTTTTTGGTTGTAACTATTGTTAAGAATTACCCTGGCTGGTGTGGCTCAGTGATTGAGCATTGACCCATGCACCAAGAAGTCACCGGTTCGATTCCTTGTCAGAGCACGTGCCCAGGTCGTGGGCCCGATCCCCAGTGGGGGGCATGCAGGAGGCGGCCAATCGATGTTCTCTCTCATCAATGTTTCTATCTCTCTCTCCCTCTCTCTCTCAAATCAATAAAGAAAACAATAAAAAATAAAAAAGAATTAGGACAGGTTACTGGAGGGAGTCACCAAGCCACCTTCACCAGCAGTGTTAAGGACAAGACAAACTACCGAGCGTCATCCTGACTTTCCTTAGAGCAGGAGAGCTCCTTCTAAGGCTTTTCCATGGGCCTCACTCAGTCCGCCTGTGGACTTCACGCAGACTTCCTATTGCCCCTCCTCAACCTCCTCACAATTCCACAGGCAGGCATGTATTCAGACACCCCAACATGCTCCGTGCAGTGTGATTCCAGGGGCCCTGGTCCCCGCATTGGGCCTGTGTTGGCAGGTAGCCCAGTCAGTGTCAGTTGAACTGAACTGGACTCCTCTGATGGCCAACCGTTCTCTGGTATCTCCCGGAGAAAATGTTCTGAGAACCCCAGGTCCCTATCACTGCCCTGGTCGGCAGGTGTGCAGTGCACGGTGAGTATTCAGGCAAAGCATTTAGGGATAAGTGTTCTCAATTATTTTTTTTCTTCTCCTGTTCACAAATAAAGAAGACAGTTCAAAGGTGGCATTTCCCCATGTCAGATGTTTCCTGACTCTGCTACGCTCAGATGGTGGCCTCCGCTCAGTGACACCAACCACCCCAGTGATAGCCCATCCAAACGTCACTGGACGGGGCTCGTGTCTGTGTATTTGCTGCCGTAAGTGACCGGGAGGCCTTCTGCCTCGGGAGTCGGGTGTAACTCTTATCCGCCTGGAAGCAGGGCTTAGTTATGGAATCCCCTCTCGTGCCCTCTTCCTCTGGAACGTGGTAAACGGAGTCTGACCCCTGGTTCCAGAGAGCTGGGCAGGAAAAAGGTGGAGGGTCATTCTAACCCTTCCTGAAGTGTAGCTTGTCACTTGGAAGAACCGTCAGAGCCGCAGGCCACTTGCAGCGCCAGCCCCGAGCAAGCGAGTCCATTCAGGAATCTTAAGTATTCAGTATCGGAATCTGAAGGTTGGATGCGCCCAGCCGGTGTGGCTCAGTGGTTGAGCATCAACCCATGCACCAAGAGGTCGTTGGTTCGATTCCCGGTCAGGGCACGTGCCCAGGTTGTGGGCCTGATCCCTGGTGGGGGGCATGCAGGAGGCGGCCCGATGTTCTCTCTCATCGATGTTTCTATCTCTCTCCTTCTCCCTTCCTCTCTCTCTAAAATCAATAAAGAAAAAAATTAAATAAGTAAAAGGTGGATGCCAGGAAGAATGATGACCCCAAGGTGCTTCCCCGTCATCGCAAGGAAGGCAAGCAGGGCCCTGTGGACACTGTGACACACAGAGAAGTTCTCTCTGCAGGTCACACTGGGGTGGGTGGCAGCAGGCTGCGTCCAGCTTCGGGCCATCGGCCGCCCCAGGCTCCGTCTAGCTCCCGAGGGCTACAGGGCCAGTGCACCTGCCCTCCGCTGCCCCAGCCTGGGGAGCACCGAGGCAGCGTGTTTCTATTAAAAAAAACCAAAAAACTTTTGTCTTTCCTTTATTGATGTTAGAGAGAAAAGAAGTGAGGGAGAGACAGATAGAAACATCGATGAGAGAGAACACTGACTGGCCGCCTCCTGCATGCCCCCCACTGGGGATCGGGCCCACAATCTGGGCATGTGCCCTGACTGGGAATCGAACCGGCAACCTCATGGGTCGACGCTCAACCTCTGAGCCACACCAGGTGGACATCGTGTTTCTATTTCTTGAGGGCGCTGGTTCTCAGCTGGGGGCGATGTTGCCCCTAGGGGCTATTTGGCTGTCATAATGGGGGGTGGGCAGGGTGTGTGACTGGCACCTAACTGGTAGAGACCAGGGACACTGCTAAACATCCTACAATGGACAGGACAACTCCCCCCACCACAAAGAATTTATCTGGCCCCAAATGGCACCAGAGTGGCTGTTGACAAACCCTGTTCCAACCAAGAGAGAAACTCAGCCTGAAAAAAAAGGGACCAGGTCAGGAAAGGGCACTGTTGTTTGTCTTAGTGAGTCCAGCTTTTATTTTTATTTTTTTATCCTCACCCAAGGACATTTTTGCATTCATCTTCAGATAGAGTGGGAAGGAGAGAGGGAGGAAGAGGGAGAGAGAAATATCGACGTGAGAGACACACATCGAGTGATCGCCACCCACACGACCCAACCGGGGCCGGGGGCAAACTGCAACCGAGGTCCGTGCCCTTAGCGGGAACCGAACCTGGGTCTCTCTGGGCCGCAGGCCGATGCTCTAACCACTGAGCCAAACCGGCCAGGGCATGAGTCCACCTTTTAAAAATCTCTGCGAAAAATTATTTATTGACCCAAACAGAGCAGAGGTGCACCTGACCTTCCGTTCCTCTCCTCTCCTCCCCAGCATTCCTCTGTCCCCTCGAAGGAACAGATTATTTTGCCTACTTCAGTACTTCATTTTATTATTTTTTTCCTTTTGTGGATATTTCTTCCTAGTCCTTGGTGACTAAGAGGCTCAAAGACGGGGTCTCAGGATGCAATGTGGGGAACACTGCACCCGACGCTGGGAGGCAGACCACTGCACGGAGTCTCGGTCAGCTCTCCTGAAACCACTCGACGCTGAGAAAAGAGCACGGACAGAGGAACGTCGGCTCCCGTGGACCAAGCAGGCGCTGACCGGGCGGGGCCAGGAGAACTTCCAGCCCCGTTTTAATCAGCGTCTCCGGGGACTCTGCGTATTTACTCGACTAAAGATTTAAGCTGTTTTAAAGAAGCACCTTAATCCCCTCTGTTTAACTTTATAGCTTAATCTTGGTTACCAAGTTACTCAGGGAGCTGTGGAGGTTGCTCTTCCCCTCCCACAAACACAATTAATCTCTCTTAGCTTATTTTTCCTAAAGTCTCAGGGATGGGGGGTGGGGAGTAGAGCCACTGAGGGGAGGAGGGAAAAGGAAGAAGGAGAGAAGGGGCAGAGGAAGAGGAAAAGGGACGAGGAGGAAAAGGAAGAGGGGAAGAGGAAGAGGGAAAGGAAAGAAGAGGGGGAGAAGGAGAGGAGGGGGAGAGAAGGAGGAGGAGGAAGACGGGGAAAAGGAAGAGGAGGAAGAGGAAGAAGGGGAGGAAGAGGGGAAAAGGAAGAGGAGGATGGGGAAGAAGGGGAGGAAGAGGAGGAAAGGAAGAGGAGGATGGGGAGAGAAGGAGGAAGAGAGAGGAGGTGAAGGAAGGGGAGGAAGAAGGGAAGGGGAAGAGGAAGAGGAGGAGGAAGAGAGAGGAGGTGAAGGAAGGGGAGGAAGAAGGGAAGGGGAAGAGGAAGAGGGGGAGGAAGAGAGAGGAGGTGAAGGAAGGGAGGAAGAAGGGAAGGGGAAGAGGGAAGAGGGGGAGGAAGAGAGAGGAGGTGAAGGAAGGGGAGGAAGAAGGGAAGGGGAAGGGGAAGAGAAAGAGGAGGAGGAAGAGAGAGGAGGTGAAGGAAGGGGAGGAAGAAGGGAAGGGGAAGAGGAAGAGGGGGAGGAAGAGAGAGGAGTAGGCCTGGGAAGAGGAAGAGCTGGGGAAGGGCGAAGGGAAGGGAGAGGGGAGGAGGGCAGGAGAGGGCAAGGAGGGGCAGTCCAGTGACGGTCTGAGGAGCAAGCCCAGAGCAGAGCCGCTGCTCATGCAAAGGGTCCCAGACTAGGTCATGGCCTGGAGTCGGGGGCTCTTGTTTCTGTTTTCATGTCAGCTGAGGTTTCTCCTTCAAGAACACGGGGAAGAAAACAGGATGGAAACAAGGAAAGGGTGCAGGGGACCAGGGCAAGGTGCTGAGCTCTGCTTTCAATTTCAAGTCCAAAGCGAACTTGGGAGATGAAGGTTCAAATCCCGGTTATCCGAGCCCAGGCCGGCCCACCAGGCCATGCCGGGTGCACAGGGCCCCCTGGGGGCCGCTCCCACCGCCCCCCCCTGCTTTCCCTGCTCCCTCAGGGTCCTGCAGAGGTGGCCTTCCTGCATCTCTGGCTGCTGCCGTACAGATGGCCACATCCTGAGTCCTCAACTACTGACGAAGGTGTCCTTCCTATCAGCACACGCGGGCCCTGCCGCCAGGAAAGGCTGGCCTGCGGATTTGGGTGACCCTCCTCAGCCAGCTCAGCATCCCCCCTCTAATCTCGCTCCTGGCTGGCACGCAGGGAACGGGGACTGGGACTGAGACAGAGGGACGAAAATGGCAGTTTTTAGGAAGACAGTGTTTTAGCCTCCTCCAGGAGAACATTTCCAGTTCTTCAAACCAACAGAAAAACACCTCGAGGAACTGCCTACTGCCCCCTTCTCTCCACCCCCCTCCCCTGCTTGACCTCCCACCTGACCCCGGGGCCCCAAGGGGGCCGCAGTACTCACGCTGCTGGGGTGGAGCATGGGCAGGGGCAGCAGGAGCAGCGGGGCCAGGACGGACAGCAGCGGCTTCCTGGCCCGGAGCAGGCCCTTCAGCAAACCCATCCCGGACGTCTGGGCGCTCTGGCCGCCTCGGAGCCCGCGTGGCTGGCCAGACAAACGCCTTTGCTCTTCCCAACGCGCTCGGTCCAGAAAGACTTCTCACCCCTCTCTGGGCTTCCGAGAGTCCTGTTTCGTCTCGGGGCAGGATGGGAGGGCAGGTACAGCCCGGCTTGCGCAGAAGGCTGGGCTCCGGGCTCCTGGTTTAGGTGGGATTGGTGAGCATGGTTTCGTGCCCAGCCAAAAGGAACGGGGGCAGGATGGTACACCAGGGCATACTGGGTTTCCTCTTTGCTGGGTTAGGAATGGAGTAACTTCATTCTAGGCCCAGCCAAAGCCCCTCATTCAATCAGAATTCCACCTCTGCTGTCACCGTTTGGCTTGAAGAAGTCATTTCAAGTCTTTGAAAAATTAAAGACACCAAGAGTACATTGCGCCCACCATCATTTATCCTCTCTGATGGCCTGCTTGGCGCAGTACCAGTCTCATTTCCTACCTGTGCTCACTGTACCCCCCTTCCCTTAAAAAAACCAACAATCCCCCTGTCCTTAAATCAAGTCCCCTCCCCCCAAGTTTGTCAGCGGAGGTTGCAGGTTCAGATAGGGCTGGGCTTCTTTCCAGGACCTGGAACCTCAACTCTCTTTCCTTCAAATTGCCTTCCCACTTATCATTTGCCTTAAGCCTGGGCCTCCGGAGCAGGAGAAAAAAAAATAGTCCCCAGACATTCCTAGTTGTCACGGGACAAAATCTTGCTGGAGGCCCACCTTAACTTGCATTCACCTATGGGAAGCGGGATAGAGGCAGTAGCCCCGCCCATTTCCACAGCCAATCAGCACGTCCGAAAGAAGGAGTCAGGCTCTCTTCCAAAAGCACTTCTTGATTGGACCCAGCAGGGGCCTGCTGATTCTGCAGAACTCGGGCAACTTGCAAAGCTTATTTTTGTTTCTCAGACATCCTAGGGTCCCGCGGGATGACCATCACTGTAAACATAATGCCACTTCCTCAAGCACTGCTTTGTCGTTGGAGACCCTAGGACACCGCTTGCTCTGGGAGGGCCAAGCTGACCTAGTCCTTAGGAAGAGGATGAGTTTGGTAGCAGAGAGAAAGTATAATATTCGTTCTGGAGAAACGTGCCCCAGAGTGTCCAATAGTAAAGCTTTCAGACCCTGGTGGCAAAGCATGTTTGATAAAGCATCTGAGTCAGCAGAGGGTCAGCCTGTGAGAAAGACCAGAACTCTTTGGGGAGAATGGGAAGGATAGAGGCCTCTCTGGGAAAGCAGAGATGCCAGTCTCCTTTCAGAGGGTCCTTGGCACCTGAAAGACCACGCCTGGGTCTGTGGTCTTTCTGGCTGGAGTAAGTGCTCCAATGCTCCTCTCTGGGGCTTTGTACCAATGAAGAAGCAGAAGGCTTCTTTGGCTGGGCTGCAAGGAGGGGGTGGAAGGGCAGAGAAGACGTCGACAAGTTCAGGGACAGGGCCTTTGCGGCAGGTGGGCTCTGGACTTGCTGCTTACACACAGGGAGAAGCTGTTAGCCTTTGTCAGAAAGGACATGTGGATTGGGGGCAAGGAAGAAAAGAAAGAAAGAAAACCCAAATGTTCTGTAAGTGGTGCTTCTCAGCAGTATTGCCTTGATCTGAGAGGTGCTGAGCAGAGTCAAGGGTTATGAAACTCACGTCCTCTTGAACTCATGGAATGTAAGGAATGGCGTTCCAAGGTCTACGGCTCTACTAGTTGGAAATGATCCCCAGGGAAAACGGACTCCAGAAAACCAGTTCTTCTTGACTTCTGAGGCAGTTACAACCATAGAAAACTCGGGTACCCTGAGAAATTATCTTGCCATCATTATAGGATGGGCTGTGATGACATCTGTTAAAATGCATGTTAAAGACTCTTGTGTTTACTACATGAGGGTCTTATTTTTGTGATGATTTTGAAACGCAGAATGAACATTGCCACACAGGTGATGTTTTGGTGGCAAATAGTAAAGAGACTGGATAATAATAAATAGCTGTGGACATCAACATTGCTATCAAACCCACGAACCACTTCAACTCCCTGAGATCAACCGAGATAACACAGAATCCACTGAGCCTGATTGCTCCATCATGACATATTTATTACATCATTAGTGAATATTTGTTAAATAACATTAGGTAAGGCAAATGACACAGCAAGGCCAGTAGTTCTTCAGAACTCTCTCCACTTTTCAGATGAAGAAAACATTTCCCAGAATGCAACACTTAAGACATATAAGACAGATACCACTTCTGCGAGGTATTGAAAGTAGTCAAACTCTTAGAAATGCAATGTGGAATGGTATTCACCAAGGGCTGGGGGGACCAGGAAAAGGGGACTGATTGCCCAGAGACCATTTTTCCGGGATGAAAAAGGTTCTGGAGATCTGTCCCAGAACAATGTGCTTAGAGTTAACATCACTGTATACCTAAAAATGGTTCAGATGGTAAATTAATGCTGTTTTTTTTTTTTTTTTTTTACTGCCATCAAAAAGTAAGACATGCAAATGGTTTGGAAAGTAAGGGGTGCCATGTAAAGTCATTTAACGAGCATTTGATTTTAGACCAGTTTACCTGTGGAAATATGTTCTGGCTGATTCACCACTATGGGATCCTCTTTGGTAGATTCGAGGTGAGAAGAGAGAGTAAAGAAAGTTTCAACACACAGATGTTTTTCAAACTCTCTTGAGCGACACCAGAGGTAGCCATGAGGATGCTAACCATGGAGGACACTTCCAGAATTTCTAGATCCTCAAATTTCCCAGCAATATAGAAACAGCAGAACTGGTTCCATAAGTCATAGGCAAGTTTTCACTACCAACATCGCAGCCCAAATTATTCCGTGTATGAGTAAGTGGGACCAACTGTGACTCAGTTGTGACCGTGGTGTACAGGGTGGCATTGTGGGGCTAGATGGAAGATTCTGCTTCTATCCAGTCTTCTACTCTCTTGTTCACTGGGCAAAGAGGTGGGTTTCGGGGTGACAATCATGAGCATAATATTTGATTTTGCATGAAAATCAAGTCATGGTTATAAAACTTTTTGTGGGTACACAATGAATTCGTATTCAGACTAAAACAGTGTTTAAGTCTCTAGTCAATGAAAATGAAATTCTTGTCTTTGAAAAGTCACGCCTTTCTCGTTTCTCTTTTTTTCAGCCACATCTTGCCACATAAATATGGGCCTGGATTTATGGCTACAAAAGTGCTTTTAATTTTTTGTTACAGGGTGAATGAACCACCATTGCTAACCCCAGTCTGGGGACCATCCTCCCATTCATGGAGCCCACTGGGGACAGCCATGCATAGCATGACATGGTGACCAAGGGACCCCAGGGTGGGTCTTGCCAGCTGGTGACCGAAAGCTCTCAGACCCCTTCTGATGGGGTGGAGTCCCGGCATGGGATGCAAGCCTGTCAGGGTATTTACTGGACAGTGTCTAAGAACTGAGGCCTCTGCTAACCCCCTCCCCACCCCACGTCAAGGGAAAGTACAAACAGTGAAGGCAGATTGTGAGTCTAATCTGCCTCTGGGCAATCTCACTGTCTCTACTTTGACCTTTGTCTTCGTCAGACAGCGATACCCAAAGGAGACTGAAAGCCAGTGTGCTCAGGGTTGAATGCGGGTGGCCCGGATAGAGCAGGAAAAAATGTCAACCCCAGGGCATTGGAAAGTGCTTCAGGAAGTGGGCACAAAGCTAATCAGAATCAGGTCCAAAGAGAGAGCTGCAGAGACCCGAACTAAACTTTCAAAAAAAGAGAGATGAGCAGAGTGACCATGTCAAAGTGGACAGGTCATATTAGAAAGAGGGAAAATGAGCAAAAAAAGCATATATCAGTCTGCATTTGAGGGAGGTAAATGAGTCGTGTGATCTGGGAATCAGAATGAGAGGGCGTGAGTTATGAATCTTCAGAGGCTGAGACCGTCAGGATGCAAAGATGTATTTTTCCCTGATGCCTTCTTCCCGAATTCTAGTATTTCTCCCAAAAGACCACGCGATCTGTGCTGCTAGGCAAAGCTCCCGGGTTCACAGATTTCAGAGAAGCCCAGACCAGCTTTTGTTATCATCAAATGACAATTGGTAAAGGCCCATTTCAAAATCAAATTTAGCCCAAAGAAGCCTCACTCATTCAAAGATCGGACTACTCGCGACGTTAGCCTCCAGGAGCAGGCTGAACACCCCGGAGAAGCCAGAGGAATCTTTATTAGCACTCAGGGGCTTCGCTCCTGGCAAAGCCTTCATCTGTGACCTCTCATTTAACACAGAATTAGAACGAGCCTAACTACCTTGTTTTCTAGGCGATGGTGTCTGAGAAAGAACAAAATGCAAAGGCTGAGTGGTGTTGGTCACAAAGAAAAGTGCACTCTTGTAGCCCGACAGCGAGGAGGCAGCGGAGAAACCCACCCAGCCCCAGAGGGAGCGAGCCTGGGACCTCCCGGGGTTGGTACAGTAGCCCAGCTGACCTCTTGGGTCGGGGCGTCGTATCTCACAGTTGGAGAAACGATTGAGGACATCCCAGAAGTCAAAGAATCTTAGAGATGATGTTCTCCAATGCCTTCATTAGAATGTTTCAGAGATACTACATAAAAGCTTAAGACATCTCATCTGCGTAGTTTCAAAAGATACGGAGCCATTATCGCTAAAATGAGAAACTGCCATTTGAAAGGGTAAATTTCTGCCATCTGCAAATCAGTTTTACTTGGAGCACTTGATGCCCTGATGATGCTAAATGGTTTGAGCATTAGGATAGAAAGGCAAGGCCGTGGGTGCCCCCTCTTCGTTAGGATGACCCTCTCTGCATTAGCTTGGTTTCTCTGTTCAAAAGACAAGGCAGCCCTGGCCGGTTTGGCTCAGTGGTTAGAGCGTCAGCCTGCGGTCCAGAGAGACCGGGGTTCGGTTCCCGCTAAGGGCATGTACCTTGGTTGCAGTTTGTCCCCGGCCCTGGTTTGGTTGTGTGGGTGGCAGCCACTCAATGTGTCCCTTCACGTCGATGTTTCTCTCTCTCTCTCCCTCCCATTCTATCTGAACAAAAAATGAAAAAATGTCCTAGGGTGAGGATAAAAAGAAAAAAAAAAAGACAAGGCATGTCTGTTTGTATAGACCAGCCTTCCGATAAGAAGAGTCAAGACATACAGCTCATACAATTACTGATATCCTAACTGATTCTTCTCGGTGACTTTTAGAAAAGTTGAGAAGTATACCCTTGGCTAACAAAGTATTTATTTGGCTGTAACGATAGCTTCTTTGGATCTCACTACAGAACCTTCAGAAAGATATTCATTCAACCCAGCACCCTGATCTCTTAGGGCAAAGAAACCTGTCCCCCCTCCTCCCACCGTGCTCAAACCTCTGTGATGTCTCCCCAGCTCTGTCCTCCCCCGTGGGTGTTTGGGGCAGTCACTCAGTACTGAAGCGTATCTCAGACTCAGCGTTTTCACCAGGCAAACTATTCGGCCTCTGGAGGCCTCCTGAATGACCACTCCAGCCCTTTGTTCGAGCCCGGATCACATTATGACACGAATCAGAGGTGCGCGTCAGGAAGCTGCGACAGGTAAAGAGCATGGGGCTTAATTATTTTATCTCTGCTACTCTGGGTGGTGGCATGCTGGAAATGGGCTCTGCAAACGGGTCGAGAATGAAGAATTTCTGGATTACTGTGCGTGCTGGGCCCTGCTCCGAGGTCCTGGAGGGGGCCAGTCTCTCAGGGAGACACTCTGGAGCCGGAGGACCGAATCAGGTCGTGCCTCAGGGCCTGGAAAAGGCTGAGGAGGGACTGGGCCCAGACGTCCTTCTGATGCCCCCGGGACAGGGCTGTGCGGTAGGCTGCGTAGGCCAGCGTCAGCGCGGTCCTTTCAAAGTCTTCTTTCTTGAGGGTGCCGGGGTGGCTGGCGAGGCTGGCGCTCAGCCTGCGGATGTCGGGGATGTGCTTGGGGATCACAGCGTTGCAGACCGTGTGGAAGTCAGAGGCCTTCCGCAAGGAAGCCAGCTCCTCGTCCTTGATGGAGATCTCCAGGTCGGGGCTGATCGCGAGCTCAGCCAGCAGGAACTGGGGCGAAACAGGAGACACGGAGACACTAAAGCATTTGGGCCTTGTTGAGGACACCCCTGTCTTCATTAGCATGTGGGTTCAGCTGGGAGGCAGCTTTGGAAAGAGCTTTGGAATCCAAGAGATCTGGGTTCCAGTTCTGACATTCCCACCAACTATGCGACCTTGGACGACTTACTTAACTTCTCTGAGTCTCGTTTTCCTCCTCTGTGAAATGATGAGTTGCAAAAATATTTTACAGGGCTATTGTGGGAAGGAAGTAAGACAAATATGGACACCATGTAACATGGCCCCTGGTACAAAGCCACTGTTTAATGACTGTTCTTTATTTCTAGGGTCCCAGATTAGCCCGTTCTTCCCTTTCTCACTCCCACCCACTGAAGATCTTCTAAACCATGAACAGACTTTCGGATTATTTTAAATCAGAAGTTTGGGATTGAAGGACTCAGAGAATTGTGCTAAGCAAGTTAGAGACTTGCCCTTGTTTCTCGCCTGTTCTTTTTTGTTTTTCTTTATTGATTTTAGAGAGAGGAAGGGAGATGGAGAGAGAGATAGAAACATCGATGAGAGAGAACATTGATTGGCTGCCTCCTGCATGACCCCCAGTGGGGATTGGGCCCACAACCTGGGTATGTGCCCTGACTGGGAATCGAACTGGCAACTGCTTGGTGCATGAGTTCACGCTCAACCACTGAGCTACATCGGTCAGGCTCACCTGTTCTTTAAGAGTGGGGGTGGGGTCGGCCATATACATCACCTGCTCAGTGCCAGGCTCATCGGAAACCTAATAAATACCTCTTGGACTCAGGGTTCTACCTAGTCTCTGTTTCTAGCTTCCCCCAGCTCCGATCCATCTCCATGCTACTGTTATCTTTCTAAAGGATCTGCTCATACGACTCCCATGTTCATGACCTGGCAAAGGCTATGTATTTTCCAGTTTGTTCCCCGTGGTGGAACTTGGCTGCAACAGGCTGTCTCCTTCTTAGCCAGGTAGTTCTGGCCCACGGAGGATGTCAGAGGATGTCAAGGCAGGAGGGGAGTTTTGGGGATCACTGTAGTCCCTCATTGAGCAGTTGAGGAGATCTGGGCCCAGAGAGACACCTGGCTTATGCAAGGTCACACAGCTGATGGGTGGTGGAATCAGAACTGAAGCTCAGATCTTGAACCTGGACTTGTACCGCTGAACCAAATCCAGTGGCCCTGGGAAGTGTACCCGTGGTTCGGAGAAGTGGGGTCTGAGTGGACGAGGTGTGAGAAGCAGAGGAAGAGAGCCTTCGTGGTGGCCCAGGCAGTCAGAAACTGGGCTGTCACAGTAGGCAGCCACTGGAGACAGGACCACCGGCTTGGCATCGCCTGACCCATGACGGGTCCTGCCTCCCAGCCTTAGCTTGAGACTATGGACTCACCCTGCTGCTTGGGTGCTGGGAGTGCACCTGGGGCCAAACCTAAATTCCTAACTTTGCCTCCAGTGACCTCCTGATGCCATCATCCCTGTCGCGGCACGTGGGAAAGGAGAGGAGGTATGAGCATTGGATGGCCCCACAGGTGAGTCTAAGGCAGAGAGGCCACTCATTTTCAGGGGCTCAGGTCATTTCTCCAAACACCAGCAAGGCCGCAAGGCCTTTGGGGTGACAGCCACTCGCGCCTCTGCGTACCTCATAGAGCAGTTCCACCTCCTCCAGGGAGCGTTGCAGGACGGGGTTCAGGGGCAGCGAGGACGATCTCTTCGGCCGGTGGGCGGCTGGGAAGAGCACGGCTGCAAGAAACAAAGCGATGAGCTCCCCGGACTGCGTGCGCTTGGCCGCCCCCCCGAGGACCAAGGTTAGCCCGCCAGTCCTGGAGTGACCGGCTCGAGGCCGTGGTGAGCGGGAGAGATGACAGACAACCCTGGTGGGTCCCAGAGCACTCCCAGGCATGTCAGGTGGTACTGTTCCAGACCAGTGATTCCAAACCTGGCTGCTTATCAGAGTCACCCCAGAAAGCTTTGAAAAATAGTGTCCAGGGGTGGGCAAAAGTAAGTGTACAGTTGTTTGTGTGGAGAAAGACATGCAGGTTGTGATTATTACCATAGCTTTATTACTCTTGTGTTTCAAGTACTCTCAACTGAACATCTACTTTTGCCCAACCCTATATGTCAAGGGGACTTATGTTAAAATAAAGCAGAAATGAGCAAACATCAAACCCCTCCGAATTCAACAAACGAGTTCCCTGCTCATACTGTTGTCCAACAGTAATGCGCCTGTTAGCACGTTATCCGTATGAAATGCTGGTTTATATTTATTGACAACACTTTTCATCAGAGGATCGTACTCTGGTCATTCCCCAGCGCTCCGAAATATAGCTGCCAAGAACCTGGACGCAGGTGACAAAGGAAAGGAAGAGAGCTGCCCCAAGACCCGGACAGGTGGCTCTAGGGAGCGTGGAGCCAGGTTCAGGGTCGCCCCGAGGGCCAGCTGAGTTAGAAATGCATTTGGGACAAAGTCAGTGACTTGCTTATGCTGTTTCTTTGTGGGCACCTTCAGAAATGTAGCTGGAGGAAGACGGATGGGCTGCTACAGGTAGAGAGCAAGAATTAGGACCTTACTGAGGACAAGTGAAGACGACAGACTTACAGAGTGTCGGAATAATCTTTATAAATTACAGTCCTCTGAGTCGGCTCTGGCTGGGAGCAGACGGCCCCGCCCACCCCGCACACAGGGTGGGCAAGCCTGCTACCAGCTGATACAGAAAGGTACAGCTTCTTGCACCCAAGGTAACTGGCATCAGTGTGATACGTCAAACATTAACTCCTAAGTTACATCCCTTTAATCTTAGATGACTATTTTTTTTCTCCTGCAGTTTGCTGCCTTCAAAATAACGATTCGCACCCTGACTGGGCTTAAACCACCAACACAGCAATTACATGCAAAACATAAATAATTGCATAGAGGGATTTTTGGTTAAATCTCATACTACAGCCCTGGCCGGTTTGGCTCAGCGGTTAGAACGTTGGCCCGCGGACCAGAGAGTCCCGGGTTCGGTTCCCGCTAGGGGTGCGTGCCTCGGTTGCAGTTTGTCCCCAGCCCCTGTAGGGGCCGTGTGGGTGGCAACCAGTCGATGTGTCTCTCTCACATTGATGTTTCTCTCTCTCCCTTCCTCCCTCTCTCCTGCTTGCTCTTGGAAAAAAAAAATCTCATACTACAGGAGATGCTCCGAAATGCATAAGTGAGAAAGTAAGATTCTCTATATGGCTTGGTACCTTGAGTCCAGAGGCAGTACATGGACACACTGTACCATTTTGGAAATTTAGATCTTGAAAATAGTACTTAAAATAAATCATGTCATTTAAAAAAAGAAAGAAAAAGGTACAGCTTTTTAAAGATACTGGATTGTGACCTCCCAAAAAACTGGGCAACTAACTGCAAAAAAAACTGAGACTCTGAGGTAAGTAGCGCCCTCTAGAGTTGTGCAAAGCACACTTTGCATAACCATGCATGACAGCCCTGCTTCTTGATAATGGTGTCCCGGGGCCATCAAGAAAGGGTCCACTGATGTCCAGTGTACTGCGTTAAAGAAGGCAGGGGACTGCATAAGTATTTTAGAAAAAATTTGATCTGAAGTGATAAAAAGGAAATCTTGGATGTACAGACATTTCCTGAAAAGCACACTGGTAGGAATCTCCCACTCCCTGGAAATGCTGGTTGGGTGGGGTACTGCTGTAATATTGCTTTCTCCGTCCTCATTTATTATCTACACCACAGATTCCTCGGGGGTTGGGATAAATATGGTTGTAGGTTTCTGGCCCTAGCCGATCCTGGCAGGCTTCCAGGCCAGGCGCTAGGCGCCGCTGTTGGCCAACCAAACCCATGCACGGGGGAGACCTCCAAGGCTGTGATCTCTGCTTCCCCAGACCACTGTGGCGAAGGGGTCTGTGAACTCCACGGCACGATTTCCTAGCCTCACATTTTAGCAGGATTTGTTCTCTATGCCAGAAAAGTGCCAATTTCCCATAGAATCAGAGATGTTAGGGCTTCGCCTCTGTTCGCTTATGGCCTCTGCCTACAGTTTTAGGCGGAGCTCAGGAAGGTCAGGCGTCTCCTACTCATCGGGTTCATAACCTTGACCACACGTTAGCATCACCCAAGGGGCTTTAAGAAAGACTGATGTCTGGGTCCCAGCTCCAGAGGTCCTGATTTAATAGAACTAGGGTGCAGCTGGGACAGCGAGATTTCAGGGCTGAGACCCAGAGGGCTGCCTGGCTGGAGGCCACTCTCGGGTCAGCCAGTGGTGCTCACCCGTGACTCTGCGTTAGAATCACCTGGGAGTTTTTATTTCATTTTATTTAAAATTAAAAAAATATGTTATCGATTTCAGAGAGAGGAAGGGTGAAGGAGAGACAGAAACATCAATGAGAATCATTGATTGGCTGCCTCTTGCACACCCCCTACTGGGGATCGAGCCTGCAACCTGGGCATGTGCCCTGACCGGGATTTGAACTGGTGACCTTCTGGTTCATGGGATGATGCTCAGCTAACTGAGCCATACCAGTCGGGCTCATCTGGGAGTTTTAAAGACCAACTTGCTCAAGGCCCCCTCCCAGGCTAGTTTATGGGCATCTCTGAGGTGGATATAGGCATCAGGACTTTTTATGGTTTCCAGGTGATTATGATGGGCAGGTAGGGTCGATAACCACTGGGGCTCTCCAGACCCACAGCCAAGCACATGGTGGATGCAAAGCTCACGCTCATCTGAGCCGTACAGGGTCATCTGAAGAGACTAAGGAAAACGAGCAGAGACACAAAGAGCGTGTGCTCACTGCTGTTCCATGGCGGGAGAAGACACCAGGGCCAGAACTAGTCCTACACCAGGATGCCACCGGTTTCTGTTGCTCCGCCCACGAAAGTGCAGATGATCCCTCTTCTCGGGATAGGATCTGAGAGCAACTTGACCTCTTTAATTCTCCTTCCAGAATTTCTCTGATTGTGAAATTAAAGGGATTGGTTGCCTTAAAAAAATTCACATCCTGGCGGGGGAAGGGGCCAGGAGGGGATGAATGTCCTCGGCACTGAAGCCCTTTCTGCTGCCTGTCACCTCCGACTCGGTGGCTGCCTCTGGGAACGTTATTCACTCAGTCGTTTCCCTGGGAACAGCGACGCTCTCTCTAACACGCTCACCTGCCGCACCCCGTCCTCCCAGAGGTGGGCAGGAAACAGTGCCTGCTTCAAGGCTGAGTTTCATAATGGAAACGTTGTTTCCGATAGCCCTTATTCTCATAGCTTTTAAAATAATAACAGAATTTGGGGAAGATGGTTAGAAATAGCATCAGCCTCCAGACCACCAGGACGGATGGTTGCTTCAGAAGGTGTGTGGGGAGCCCAGGAGTTTGAAAGGCAGACCCTTCCCCCCTGCCATCTCCGGCCAGTGCCCCCACCTTGGCAGGCCCCCTCTGTCGCTGCAGCTGTGTGACAGTGTGTGGGGCAGGGGCTGCTCTGCCCCCTTGGGCCGAGGAAGGGCAGCCAGCTCTGGGCCGGCATCTCCGCGAGGGCCTGGGCCTCATCCTGATGAAGGGGATACCCTCATCTCCACTGGACATGCTGCAGGTACATTCGGGCACGGAGTTAACCCTACAGTTACTCCAGGTGTTTCTGTCCATACAGGTGAAGTCTGGACCCTGCCCGAAACGGCCGAAACAAGGGCGGACCAACTCCCAGAGCTATGTGTGCAAAGCTTGAAGCTAGACGTGCTTTGCTTGGTGAGAAAAGCAGCCCCGAGGCCTGTCCCGACGAGCCCCCCGCACCCTGGGGCCCCCCTCTGTCCCGTGGGCTCTGCGTCCGTCCTGCTCGGCCCACATCTTGCGGGCTGCCGCCAGCCCCCGGGGGAGGAAACGGGCTGTAGCTTCCTCCGCTTGACCTCGGCATCTGCATGAAGCTGGGCTGAGCACAGGCTCCGTATCTGCACTTTGGAATGATTCAAAAACCAGCTATTTTTAAAAAAGCAACAACAAAGCAAAACATCCCCGGAGACTCTTCCACTCATGCCTCACTGGGTTTTCTTCCTTTCCCTTCCATCCCATCTCCGGTGCACGGAGGTCGTTCTAAGTTCGACTCCCTCCACGCTGCCAGCCACTGGGCAGCACGGTCTTTGCAGGGTCGACAGGAGGGAGACCTGAGCGCTGCCCCTGGACTACCATTAGCGAGGACACCTTCCCTGAGGGGTGGGCGGGGGAGACCGGGGACTGGCAGAAGGGCCCGCACCCGCCTAGGCACCACCTGAGCCTCGAGCCTCGGCAAGGAGATGGCTGGCACAGTTTTATCAAGATCACCAATGTTGTGTATTTTCCTGGTGTAAAACTGGGCCGTTGTGTTTCTTTCTTCTCCACTCGATGCTTCACATCCAGCCCACTCTCCAGCTCTTTCTCTAGGATGTGAATGTGCCATGAGGGCCACTCAGTGTGACCAGGGGACACCAGAGACCCCAGTCTCCCTGCATGACGGTCTGCTGCACGCTGGCCTTGGGGCGGGGGCACCGTGACTCCCCCCTCCTGCGCTCCCTGGACAGCTGAGCCTCCGGGAGAAGGTGACGATTCTGTTGGCCAGACCAGCACAGAACCAATGATTCACCTGCTCACGGTCACGCCACACATACTGAGTCAGTCCAGAAACTGCCCCCGATATGCAGGACACATGTGTCACAGCATGTTCCGGTGAAAGACACATTTGGACCTCAGACCGAAGTCGTTAAAATGTGGAGCTCAGACGTAACAACAGCTCGTGAGCC